TTGAAAACATTTGTGAAAACGTTAATACTGTAGAAGAAATAATGCCAAATATGGAAGGAAAAGCTGGGATTGACTCAGTCATTGATGTAATTGTTGATTATTGCCATACATCTAATACCTTTACCACAAAAGAAGTTGTTCGGTTACTGCAGACCAGGTTGATACGAGGTCGGAGTCTGGAAGTTGAAAGTGAAGATGTCTGCCCAGAAGGAGCTACAAACTACATTCTGGTTGATCGGCACAATCTTTGGAAACAGGCATAGAGGAAATTTCGGGACTGGAGGATCCTCTTCTTACCTTAGATGTTCAGTTTTATGGAGAGGTAAATCAGTGATCTCCAATAATGTTTAAGGTTTTTGTAATATTTCCAACTTTGTCATATTTTGTAACAATTATGCATTTTAGCAAGCTGAAGATTATGGTGGACCACGTAAAGAATTTTTTCGTTTAATTTTACTGGAAATAAAAGAAAAATATTTCGAGGATGGCATTTGAGAACTTCTGGCTGATGAATACGCTACCATTGGGACAATTATGGGTAGGTATATTGATGAAATTGGTACTTTTGTTCATTATTTTTACATTAAAATGATTTCAATGTTTCACTTTTAAGGGCTGAGTATATTGCAAAATGGAAAGCTTCCTCAGTTTTTGTCAGATTTCATAATGCATGAGATATTCATACAAGAGCAAAAGTCCGAGTGCATCAAAAATTGGGGTCTTAAAAAAGTTGGTATATACCAGGTATGTTGTCTTAAAATCAAGTTTAACTTTCAATTTAATGTGATGTTCTTTTTTAACTATCAATTTTTTAATAATTGCAGATTTGTTGTAAAATACCAACTGTACAAGAAATTTTCAAGCCGAACCCATTTAGCAAGTTAACATTAAAGAAGATAAATGCACTTCTTGTTCCTGATCTTAGCCCTGTTGGCTCAAACCGAAGGAAATATGAAACTGAAGTTTATACATTGTTTAGCAAGTACATGAAAGAAATTGCTGGTAATTTATGTACCAAATTTCAATTTCCATATTGGTTATGCACTTGTATGTTGCTATATGTATATATATATACTTGTCAGATCTTTTTGTAGCTGGTCGAAGAGGAGACATCAAATTAGAGTGGATTTTGAGATTTGGGACCGCCACAGATGAAGAGCCATTGCTGGGATTTAAACTTGCCCCAAAAATAAGATTCACTGAGATGACAAACTCTTTTCTCCCAACAGCCAACACTTGCATAAATGTAATTACAATTCCCTATGCTTCAAACAACACTCAGCAATTACCAGCTGCTGAGGTTCTGTTTGCATTATATGATGAGGCATTTTCTTCTGCTCACTTTGGACATATTTAATTTCATATCATATTTGCATCAATATCAAATAATAAAAACATGCACATGTTTTACTGTTGATAACCATAATATCTGTTAATTATTTGACAATTTTGAATGTATTGGTCAATTTTATAGTTAGCTGGTTCTGGTGGCACTTGGTTTAGCTCATTTATGCATGCTTCACTTAAATTGAGAGCAGGTGGGGGGAAAATAGGCCTGCTTTCTTGCTCATCATCATTTGTAATGGCAATGTCACCATCCACTCCATATTCATTTAAATTTGGAATGGGAATATTTTTCCAATTGGATTTTGCTGCTGACCAGCAATCCACAGCCGTAATGGACTAGTCTTGGTTGATCGCATTCGATGATTCGCCCATGCTCTTTGCCAGATGTGAAGTTTCTCATTAATATCATTCATATAAGTATAGTGCAATGCAGCTATGTGATTTTCATTAAGGGATCAAGTAGGTCTTCATCTTCCAAGAAATAGAACATATGGTAAAAGAAACTCAGCACACCTTGAAAACATCCTCCAAAGCCTCTCGATCCTTTGATTATGAGTACTCTTTCCTGTGATTATACTACCACGATTGCTTCCTCTTTTTTCAATCATGTAATCAGCAATTCTCACATTTTCCATACCCTTATCTGTTCGAACCCGGCGTGGCAGACCAAATTCACCCACAGCATTTAGAAAACACCCAAGGACTGTATCTGCTCTATTGTTATTGGTACAGTCAAGCATCACTGGTAATCTACTGAAAGCATCAATTGCACCAACAATAACAAAATGCCATCTTACAAGTTTATGATTCGTATCAACGTGCCATAAGTGGTTTGGTCCTTTCACATTATAAACTCGACGCTGCAACCTCCTTTTCTTCCTATCATTCACACCATAACTATCAACGCGATGTATGGCGTCACGCAATCGTCCTCGCTGCACCTTGATGCCTTTGCCAACCAGAAATTGTTTTATCATTGTTTCTCCGCAAAAGGGAAACTCCGAAATGATTTCACGTACACGGTTATCTAGCATGCCATCATCTATTTCAGTAAATTCATACTTGCTAAGTCCATATTCACGCATACGTCGATAAATTGTAGACTCTGAGACTGATAGCAATGTAGCTATTTCACTAATAAGAAATCCTTCGTCAATGTAGCTTTCTAATAATGCTTTTGGTATTTCATATTTAGCGCTTTCTGCATCTCGTTTCAACTTAGCTGGCTTTGCTGTACCATATTTAGTGCATTCAATTCGCAGAGTCATTATTTCACTTGATAAATACATACCCAACTGATGAAAATCGTATAGAGAGAGCATACAAACAATATTGGGAGTGATTTTTTCTTCCTTGAATCTCGGATATAATGAGCCAAGTCCTAAAGTTTCCAAAATATTCTTCATCTGCAAAGCTGGCGTGGAGGTGGAGGCCATCGTGACGTTAACGTAAAATATTTTTATGTTTTCGTAAGATCGCATAAACAACATAAAGTTTATAAAAATTTCCCTACGAACAAACTACGGGCTCAATTAAATGACTTCATCATCATATAATGAAGTTTCATCACCATATAATGAAGTTTCATCATCATATAATGAAGTTTCATCACCATATAATGAAGTTTCTTCACCATATAATGAAGTTTCATCATCATATAATGAAGTTTCATCACCATATAATGAAGTTTCATCACCATATAATGAAGTTTCATCATCATATAATGAAGTTTCATCACCATATAATGAAGTTTCATCACTATATAATGAAGTTTCATCATCATATAATGAAGTTTCATCACCATATAATGAAGTTTCATCACCATATAATGAAGTTTCATTACCATATAATGAAGTTTCATCATCATATAATGAAGTTTCATCACCATATAATGAAGTTTCATCATATAATGAAGTTTCATCACCATATAATGAAGTTTCATCACCATATAATGAAGTTTCATCACCATATAATGAAGTTTCATCACCATATAATGAAGTTTCATCACCATATAATGAAGTTTCACCATATAATGAAGTTTCATCACCATATAATGAAGTTTCTTCCATATAATGAAGTTTCATCATCATATAAGTTTCATCACCATATAATGAAGTTTCATCACCATATAATGAAGTTTCATCATCATATAATGAAGTTTCATCACCATATAATGAAGTTTCATCATCATATAATGAAGTTTCATCACCATATAATGAAGTTTCATCACTATATAATGAAGTTTCATCATCATATAATGAAGTTTCATCACCATATAATGAAGTTTCATCACCATATAATGAAGTTTCATTACCATATAATGAAGTTTCATCATCATATAATGAAGTTTCATCACCATATAATGAAGTTTCATCATCATATAATGAAGTTTCATCACCATATAATGAAGTTTCATCACCATATAATGAAGTTTCATCACCATATAATGAAGTTTCATCACCATATAATGAAGTTTCATCACCATATAATGAAGTTTCATCACCATATAATGAAGTTTCATCACCATATAATGAAGTTTCATCATCATATAATGAAGTTTCATCACCATATAATGAAGTCTCATCACCATATAATGAAGTTTCATCACCATATAATGAAGTTTCATCACCATATAATGAAGTTTCATCACCATATAATGAAGTTTCATCACCATATAATGAAGTTTCATCACCATATAATGAAGTTTCATCATCATATAATGAAGTTTCATCACCATATAATGAAGTTTCATCACCATATAATGAAGTTTCATCATCATATAATGAAGTTTCATCACCATATAATGAAGTTTCATCACCATATAATGAAGTTTCATCATCATATAATGAAGTTTCATCATCATATAATGAAGTTTCATCATCATATATTGAAAACTGATCATATAAGACAGCTATGGCATTCCATACACTTAAACTATTACAAGTCAGTTGTACTACCACAGAGCAGTTATACTATTTCAGCTCGGTTATTGTACAAGTCACTGCACACGTAATCCTACTCTGTTATTTATTCACTTCCAATGGCTTACTATGCTTAATTTTATCAAACACACACGTTGTCTTTCAGGGATGTATTGTTATCGCTAATTGGGGCTATTGTTCATATATGCATGTTATAAATCCGTAGATAACAATACATTTCAAAAGATATTAATTCAGCATATCATAAATATATGAATAAGAGCCCCTCCATCTAGCGATAGCAATACATCCCTGTTGTCTTTTCCTTTGATTTTTAAAGTTTCTAAAATTACCATTGCTCTTTGTAGACAAAGGAGATCATTGCCAAGAAACCACTCTAGACTAAACTACAAAAAATCTTTTAAATCTTCCACGACTCGCAGACGAAAACCTTTACCATCTGCCTGGACAGTAAACCTTCGAAATTCGCCGTCAAGACATGAAAATTATGAAGATGTTTACTCTTATTACTTACCACCTAGAAGAAAAGCAAAATATCAAGGCTCAACTCGTACACGAGATTACATGAATGACGAAATGAAAGTTTGTGAAGGTAAAAGTCATGATTCTGGTAATAGTAAAAGATGCATAGTTGAAAAACCGTCCAAAACTATCCCATGCTAAAAATGCTAAAACCTCGACTTATTACAAAGCTTCTGGCGATCGCAACTCAGCTCACATTCAGATGCGTCAGAAGTAGATTATAAATCATCGCCTGTCCTTCAAGACCAAATTAAGGATCAAAATTTTCAAGCAATTTATTCCGACGAAAAGTGGGAAGAGAAATCACATTACGCAGAAATCATGTCCACTGTCAGTGGCAGTGAGTTTTCTGAATTCTTACCCACTCCTCCACGGCCAAGCGACAGCCAATCAGATATCTCTACGGATGGATATTTCCGTGGTAGTTATAAATCATTTAAAAACAAACCTGAAAGAAACGTTAAAGAAAACAGAGAGGTTGTTGCTGAAGAGACAAGTCAATCAGATCAAGAAAAGCATAATGAAGAAACTTTAGAGGTATTTATATGTAAAATAAAGTAAATGTATTTGATGTTTTATTTGTTTGTCCTTGCACTGCTATGGGTCTATTCTATTTACTTACTTAAGTTTTAAAAGTCTTTCTCATCATTGCTTTAGATTGTCTTCTATCATACAACATTTTCTATTTTCTATAAGCAGCGTTTACGATATGGTGAGACGTGTGAGAGGAATGGAAACAAAAGTAGAAAAAACGTCGGTTCATTTAATAAAGAGACGAGCTGTTCATCGTGGACTCATAATAACAGCGGTTTTAGAAAGAAACATGTGCCAATAAATGGTGTTCAAGTCCTTTCACCAGAACCAGTTTTAATTCAGTTTGAAAGTAGCGATGAGGAGAAAGAAAATTGAAGTTGAATGATTTATTAACAAGCTATTTTAGACTTATAAATGGTTCACTTTATATGGTGAATTTACTATCTATGTAATAACTTTCTTTTTATTTTTCATACATTTGAAGGACATTTAAATCCACAAATTATTCATTCTCCCCCCTCCCCCCATGGAGAACATATAGCATTTGTTTCAAAAAAATGTACTTCCTACTGTTATTTTGAAATTTCTACATTGTTAAAATAATCTTTTTTATGACGACATTGCAAACAAGGCGTTATTATTGATGTTTCTAACCTGACGGAAAACGTTATAGAAATACACTTGTTGGAATAACTATTGGAGACTGTGATTCGAGATCAGTGGTTTATTTGTAAGTTTACCTGACTTTGTTATATTGTATTCTTTACATGATTAAAGGCTGATATTCTTTAAAAATACTTGAGTTTGTGATTTCTTTAAGGTGTATATATTAACAACGTTAAGAAAATTGTATTGCGTCAGACGTTAATTTTCATTGCCGAAAGTTTGTGTATGTAACTTATTTATATCTCCCTTTACAACTACTCCGATTTAGTGTAGAAGTAAAGATTTTCTACCCATCACGCAAAAAACATAAAGTTTGTAGACAGTAATTATACGGACTTAAACATTTCTATAGCATTATAGTGTTTTTTTTGCTGCGTTTTTAATCACAACTAAACTTTCATACATACAGAATGTCGACAGTGTTATATTTAACGTATTCACAATGCTTTAGCTTTGTTAGCGTGTTTACTTTCTCTTCTTCATGACAATTTTATGAAATACGTTGGCGGAAGTGGACACGCAAGCAAATTGTATTGTGAGAAATATTATACTTGAGAAAACTGTTCTTGGTGTTGTCTAAATTAATTTTTCATTTATGATATGTATATAAACTATTTTGCATTGATACTTTAAATATTGTCATTCGTGAACATTTTCATGAAATGATTTAACAAGAAACGCTTGCTTGTCTTTGATTAGCTCATCGTACAACTGAAAATGTCGGAAATGTCTTGTCCTATTTCAGATACTTTTGTATATCAAACAATTCAAACATTCTGTATATCAAACATTATCTGGATTTTCCAGCATTTGACTAAAATTTGTCACTTCAAGTTTGCATTCCATTACCTATATGCGGGGGTGGGGGCTGGTGGAAGCGCATAGTTTCAGTCTACTCTTTGTTTTAAAGAGTAGCAATATTCCTGTAGTCTTTGTGAACGTTAAGTAGATTACAACTATTACAAATATTGAGGATTATCGATGATCGTCTTCATATATACGTTAATGTTTGAAATGCTTAATGTTTAACGAAAGAAATAAAAGTTACCGGTTGATTAAATGCACCATGCTAAGCAAAACAAGAATGATGAGAATATTAAAATAACTTGTTCTCTCGCAGTCGGATATGAATGCAATATGAATACGATATGAATAATTTATGTTTTTATTAATTATCTTTTCTTTTATGGCAAAGAAACGTATTGCAATGAAGCTTTCAACAGATTTTACACTGTCTTAAAGCTGTAGTTTGAGCTAAATTGATTTAATCTTTATCTCTAACATCTGCATTCTTTAAAAATTATCATTTTCCGATCCAAGTAAAAACAAGTTTCTTTTACTGCTGGGATAATGACGTTATTGAAAATCATATTTATCGTTCAAATGATCATGACGTTTTTAAATTGTCGTTAAGTTTCGATTGTTTTCATAAAATTGGCAAGTCTTTGAACAAGCATGTTTTGTTGAAAATGTTGCTGTTTTTATACACTTACAGGAAAATTTTGCTGTCTTTACAGGAAATTTTTTTTTTTTTTGTTTTTTTTATTATCTTTTTTATTATTATTTTTTTTTTGTCAGTTGGCAATTTTTTGAACTAGCATGGTTTATTAAAAAAAACAAAGATTAACATTTACTAATTCATATGTTTTCTTGTAAAAGTCTTGCTATCATATACAAAATTTAAATTTTTTAACATTAAAATGGTACTGTTCATTTTGATATCTTTTGAAGGACACATGCAACATAAAATTCGGATTGTTATTTTTGTACTTTGCATAAAGGAATAGCTCCAACTAATAGTTCACCAAAGTTTGAGACTCAAAGGATAAATATTTTAGAAGATATGGTGGTTTAAAGTCGATGCTTTACTGATAACGCACTGAAAATGCCGTTGTGACGTAATAGTTGACATTCGCTAAACGCGGTCAATTGCGCGCTTCGTTCAAAATATATTGGTAACTTCTTAACAACACGACAATTTAGCATTGAAAATTTAGTTTATTGTGCCGCATTTAATTGTAAAAACGGTTCTTCTAAGAGCCACCAAACGCAGCAAAAGGTTTCTTTTTTTTCGTTTCCCGAAAACAAGCGCATGCGAGATATTTGGATTGAAAAAATCCGACGCAAAAATTGGAAGCCAACAAAGAGCTCAAAATTGTGCTCGCAACATTTGGAGAGTTCGTGCTTCGTGCAAAATTTTGAAGCGATGCAATCAGTAGGATGGACAGCAGGACGGCTTCGCCTTAAGAAGGATGCTGTACCCACGATTTTTGAATACTCTGTGGAACCCACAAGTGTAGCATCTAAAAGGAAGCAGCCAACAAATTTTAGAACTGCATTTGAGAAGAGACGAAGGCAAGAGGTGATTATTATAGTTATAGTTAGCAATATTTGTTTACATTTATCAAAAACTAAGCTATTACCATTACCAAATTGAGGACAATTTTATAATTTTAGATTATTGACGACGTTCTTGCAGAACATGACGACTTTCTTGAAGGAGACGACCACGATGTGTCGACATCGGCTAGAAATGTTTGTGCATTTTAAATCAAAGGAAGTTTGTCTAAGATAATAGATGTCAAAATATATGTAGACAGCGAAACACAAACGTATAAAGTGGTAACTAATTCAGACTAATGTCGTTTAATTTTTTCTTTGTTATTTTAACTCATAGAAAATTCTTTGTACCTTAGAAGCGCAATGTGAAATGCCAAGCAGACATAACAATCCGTCCGCAAAAACACGTAAGGTCAAGAACCACTCAAACAAAAGTGCCAAATATGATAAATAGAGGTATAGACTTTCCATTTCGGCCGTTTTGATTTTTGTGAAAAATCCAGCAATACGATAATTTTATGCTAAGGTACGGAGGTTGAGTTAATTTCAACAAAAAATCATAGCACACAGACGACGTCATGTGAAATTGAACATTTTGAGGATAGGGCTGTATGGTCTGATACAGAAAGCACGTCGACGATGAGCAATAGCTACAATGGATCAGACTCTCACTCGTTTTCTTCACTCTCAGTCATAGGTCCAATGTCATGTGTGCACACGATCATAGCTGTTATTACGACAGCTTCGTTTGTACACACTGTGGCAAACTCTTCCCTCTTGTGTGATGCAAATATGATCGCCATGTATCAGAGGATCAGTATTGTTTACCTCTTGGCAACATATACTTTCCCGTCCTGTACTCATGACCACACAAAAGCCACACTCACACCTAAAAGATAAAAACATTGTTTTTACTTTGGGAAAAAACAATGAAGCATCAACAAAATGCAACTAACCATTCAACATTTCCAATTCTGTGAATGTGTTTATCTTCGCTTTCCGATGACGGAGAATTGTCATCATTATGACCACCTTGCGCGTTGGCCAAAGGCTCAAACATGTAAGGTTGTACCTTATTATTATTGATGATAATATAATAATCGGCTTCTTCTTCAGAAGAATCCATTAATCTTTGATAAATAAAAAAGAGTAATAGCAAACTACCGAAAGCCGTGCAAGCACTGCATGCAAGTCGTAGAACGATATAAGAACGATGCTTATGTCAACTAATACGTCACTCTTTCCCAGTTCCCAGACTTAAACAATCTCACGGCGTTTTAGCAATGGTCATCGAATATCGTGTTTTTACCGATTATAATCCTAAATATCTTTTGAAATATTTTGCGGACAACTTTGAAACTTGGTAAATCTTATTTTCACGCTATAGGCATTACAATAAAATAAAGTTGTTTTCTAGCTTGCATGTGTCCTTTAAGGCCAATATTTCTACTAACAGGTTAGACGAACGGGTTACAAAGTTTGATGATGTTTTAAAAACTAGCTTTTTTTCTTTGTAATACCTAGTTTACATTTCTCCGGTTTTCCTGTGAACGCAAATAAATGTATGTTTGTTCGTTCACAGAATTAAAGACTGGACATTTTCATTGCATTCTGTGACTCCATAAACTCGAGAAATACAAAAAATGGATACGAAAGACTCGAGAATTTCAGAAAATGGCACCGAGGACTCGGGAATTTTAGGAATTGGCACCAAAGACTCGGAAATTTTGGAAATTGGCACCAAAAACTTGGGAATTTCAGAAATTGTCACCAAAGACTCGGGAAATTTGGAAATTGGCACCAAAGACTCGGAAATTTGGAAAGGTAACGCAAAAGCACCCTAATATTTAATTTTATAGGTAAATTATATTGCCGACACTTCACGACACTATTTATTCGTGTGTCATAATATGAACATTCTTTGTTCGATAGTCAGTAAATGATGTTCATTTCATGGAGATTGATAACATTTAGTTAACTGAAGACAAAATTATTTTCACAATGTACATTCATGTGCTACATTATAATTTTTTTTTGAATTAGAAGAATTGAATAAAGCTCATTATTTTTAAGAAAATATGTTGTCCCTAACCATATCCTTGCAATTTTGTAGCGATAAGAAAATCAACGGTAAATTAGTTAATCTTTCATTCATTAAATATTGAAATAACATTTTTTTAGAGGTCATGAGATTTACCGATGATGAATCTTTATCTATAAAGCATAAGTAACAAAAATATTTCATTTCATTGCTTGAACAATAACCTCCATTGTTGTAAATGAAGTTTAGTATTATGAAAACTACGAAACAAGCTATTATTGTTTCTTTACTAGAAGTAATAATCCAACTATAAACGACCACAATTTTTAACTTTCATGATAGAACCACGAAAGTTTGCCACATTACTATAACTTTTCCAGTAGTATATTTTATGGATATGGTTAGCCTAAAGGTGTTATCGAATAATGTGCATGTCATGAAGAATCTACATGGAAACGTTACTTCTTAAATAAGACCAATTTTAAGTCTTCATTCAAATTTTTTTACATAATTTTATTTCTTTTGTCATATCAGTCATGTTTTGGAATTTTTCATGTTATTTGTTGTAATTTTGTTTCTTTTCCTATAAACAATGAAATACACATAGTGCATGCTCAGGGTACTGCATGCATGTGGTCCAAAATCAACATGGGTGTTTTTATACACTAGCAGTGTCCCGTTAGTAAATACGTTTAAACAAGGCAAAGCAACTACAAATTATTATATTGTTCGACACTGTACATACATGTAATATAATCACTACACATTAAAAACAAATTACTTTTTTTACATTCACGCGACTTAAATACGATAAGTACGTTAAAGTTTTATTTTGTACTCATCTCTCAACTTGTTTACCCAGAAAAAATTCAAAGATTCGAGCTTATTCTTTGCTAAGTGATTAAAATTTTACAATTTCAAGTTTAAAGATGGATTTCAAAATAGCAAATACCATGGTGAATGGTGATAATAACAATGTAATAGTTCTTAAAAGAACTGTTTCAACCAGAACACTAACCCAACAATTCAAAGGAACCGTTAGTTACAGATAGAAAGAGACACTATGCATTTCGGCAGACTACTCGTCAGGTGTCAACGTCTGCTAAATGAGAACCTCGAAATCATGCTATATTTATAATTTTACAAAAGGTCAATGTCATCCCTATTTTTAGAGATGAAACTTAAAACAGAGACAGATTAAACACGTAATCCTTTTGTCGGCAAAGGACAGGATTAGTCAATTTAATTAATACCGACTCCATGACGCGTAGCTGGAATAACGAGCGACATTTTTTAATAATTCTAAAGTTTTCATCAGAATAAGCATTGGCACAGCGAGTGTTGCTCAAAAGATGTTTTCCATAGAAAAATGTTTCGTACTTGTGACTAAAAAGGCAAAAACTCAAAAACCAATTATTTTTACATGGTTGAGTTTTATGTTGCCAACAATTTTTATTCTTAAATTAATGCACTATGAATCAATCAACCTGTCATTTGTAATCGTAATTAAAGTATCTTATTGTTTTTTTTTTTAATGCAAAAGAGATCCGCGAGAGGCAAAGGCTCCTTTGTGAAGGTTGGTATATTGATGCAGCATACTTATTATAGATACAGTTGTTTGGTGTTGTTATTTTATTCATCTTGTTGAATCTAGAATTATATTATTTTTGGACTTGTGAGACATGTAGAATCTAAAGTTTATTCTTTGCTAAGTGTTTAAAATTCAACAATTTTTATTTTGTGATAACCTGAGAACAGTTTGAGGATAATCATCCCCATTGTAATGAAACAGGATATATTTCGTTATTTGACAATTTTTCCATACTATCTTCTTCTCATTCTATTTTAAATCTCGAACCATTAGTTCGTGAAAGCTAACTTATTTCGAATCTTCAACCCTTCTTATTTTTGTAATGGCAATTCAAATTATTGCAATAAACTGGGTTCGAATGTCCATTATAAGATTTTATTTCCCGTCTGGAAAATCTATTGTTTTTGTTTGTTCATGACGTTTGTATCAGGATAAGACAGATTGCATTGAAATTCATCCACCATTCTTCCACCTCCTCCGACGTTTTTGATTTTAGCATTTCACTTGACCTTTCATTTGTGAATGTTGAAATAAGTTTGTTTGTTTTAAGATAATTACAGTTTTATATAACGGTGAGTGTGAATTAGTCGAAGTGTCAAGTGTAATATTGTTTTTATTGTTTATTTTTCATAATGTAGAACTGACGATAATTCAAACACTTGAATGTTGGTATAATCCTTCTGTACATTACAAAAATAATGAAAGTTTATGGCGATTGACATAATTGCAATAATAAGTCATACAAACTATAAGTTTTTATTAAGCCTTTAATGACCGAGCGCGAGGTCTATACGGAGAAATAACGGACCGAGGGGCGAGGTTTGTACAAAAAGACAGAGGTCATATTTCTCAGTAAAAAACCGAGAAAGTGAGGTTATTGAAAGGATTATTACATGGCATTATTTAACCTGAAACGAAGCTTTTGCAAAATTAAATATTATTTTCATTACAAATTAATTTACGTTAATGCAACTAAAATACGAATGGTTCGTTAAACTTCTATTTTGTATATTTCTCTATCCGTTCGTTTACCCAATGAATATTCAAATTCCGAGTTTATTCTTTGCTAAGTGATTCAAATTTTACAACTAAGTTAGTGTTATTGTCAATTTCAGTTAACTTTTCAAATGGCGGTTGCCAAGTTACTTTCTAATGTTGCCAACTACATTTCCAAATATGGAATATTCGATATGAACTTGTCAACTTGAGTACTGAAGTTGTGTACTCGAGTACTGAAGTTGTGTACTTGAGTACAGAAGTTGTGTAGTTGAGTGTTGAAGTTGTGTACTTGAGTACTGAAGTTGTGTACTTGAGTACTGAAGTTGTGTACTTGAGTACAGAAGTTGTGTACTTGAGTACTGAAGTTGTGTACTTGAGTACTGAAGTTGTGTACTTGAGTACAGAAGTTGTGTACTTGAGTACTGAAGTTGTGTACTTGAGCACTGAAGTTGTGAACTTGAGTACAGAAGTTGTGTAATTGAGTACTGAAGTTGTGAACTAAAGTTGCGAAGTACTAGCAAACGCGAAAGGTCTTTGTACCCTGTAGACATTTGGCAATGAATCCGTTCAGTAAGCGAGGAAAAGCTTTACCAATAGAAGTAAGAAATGAAATACTTGAAATGTGGTTAAATAACGAGCGTTTGATAAACATTTCGAAACAACTAAACCTACCGTATAAGACTATATCAAATATAATAGATCTATGGGTAAACACTGGTTCTATTGCACCTCGCCAGAGCGAACGTGATGTTCGAACCACGCTTACAGATGACGTTATTGCATACACTGAATATCTAAAAATTAATAAACCATCTATTTACGCAAAAGAGATTCAGCAACACCTAGAAAATAACAAAGGTTGCCTTCCAGCAAACATACCTAGCAGGTCATCCATTTGTAGAATTTTGAATAAAGATCTTGGTTACTCTTACAAGATAATAAGTCAAATTCCTCGAGAGACAGAACGGCCGGGCATTATGGAGAAGTTAGAAGCTTACCTAGCAAATATTTCATTGATTGATTACAACCGTATGCATTTCTTTTATAAGTCGTCTGTAGTTGTTACGAGTGGCAACAGACGTCGAGGGCACAGTATGCAGGGTACTCCTGCATTTAAAATCCAACGATACGCTTCTAGTGCTACATTTACTGTAAATTTATTACATAATGTAAACGGCGTATCACATTATAACACTCTTAGAGGGCCGTCAAACGGATTAGAAATTCTAAAGCTTTTCCTTGTTTACTGAACGGATTCATTGCCAAATTTCTACAGGGTACAAAGATCTTTCGCGTACGCTAGTACTTCGCAACTTTAGTTCACAACTTCGGTACTTAAGTACACAACTTCAGGATCGTGACTAAAACACCACACGAGTACATACGAGTATATACGAGTACATACGAGTAACATACGAGTACATACGAGTAACATACGACTATTTTCTGATCAACAAATGAGAAACAACACAATTTCTTCAATACATTGATATTTGCTTTTATTTTTCCTTGTATTTGTGTGGAATTTGGGGCAACAATTTGATGGATTTAAATGCTGAAAAGGTATTTTACTTTCATACTACATTCATTTGTATGTTTTAGTTGAATTTGGTATAGATATTTTGTCGATGCGATTTGCCAGTATTTGAGCCCTTTTTGACACACTTTCACCTAGGAAATACATATTTATGAAAGCGATTATACATTCATTTTGACTCTGAAGATGACTACCGCTAAGGTTGTCGAAACGTCAGTCAACAACAACAAAAACAGTCCGTCTCAGGACTATACGTAACACAGTGCAACTCTCATTTAATTCAAATATATACATTTATTTCATATAGCACGTTTTGAAAGCATTATTTATTCGTTGTTTATTTAATCGCTTTCATAAATATGTATTTCCTAGGTGAAAGTGTTTCCAAAAGCGCTCAAATACTGGCAAATCGCATCGACAAAATATCTATAACAAATTCAACTAAAACATACAAATGAATGTAGTATGAAAGTAAAATACCTTTTCAGCATTTAAATCCATCAAATGGTTGCCCCGAAGTCCACACAAATACAAGGAAAAATAAACGCAAATATCAATGTATTGAAGAAATTGTGTTGTTTCTCATTTGTTGACCAGAAAATAGTCGTATGTCACTCGTATGTACTCGTATGTACTTGTATGTCACTCGTATGTACTCGTATGTTACTCGTATGTACTCGTATGTTACTCGTATGTACTCGTATGTTACTCGTATGTACTCGTATGTACTCGTGTGGTGTTTTAGTCACGATCCAACTTCAGTACTCAAGTACACAACTTGTCAACTCAAGTTGACAAGCTCATAACGAATATTCCATATTTGGAAATGTAGTTGGCAACATTAGAAAGTTACTTGGCAACCGCCATTTGAAAAGTTAACTGAAATCCACAGTAACCTGAGGAAAGTTTGACGATCGTAGGTAGGGTCATACTATTTATTAGTATTGATAATGTTTATTGTTGTTTATGTGTCTTTGTTTTTAGTAATTTGAAGAAAGCTAATTAATCTTAGGAACTTTTTTGTGTCTATACAGTTTTATATTTTTTAACTTTAAGATAGTCAATTTGGCCTTTCTTGTGTTAATGTGAAAATAAAATTTGTTTTTCTTTATTTGCAGCACTTGGGTATTGGGAAGGTGTGTATGGTTATGCATGTACGGCAATATAACAATGTATTAGTAAAGAATAGTTTTATTAGTAAAAAGTTATTTTTCCCCCTTAATAATGTAAGGTTTAATAAAACATTCACATTACCAACATTCTTTTTGCAAAATTAAATATTATTTTCATTACAAATTAATTTACATTCATGCACTGGAATACAATGTATTTCGTGCTTAGTTAACCTTTTATTTCGTAAATGTTGAAATAATATTTTGTTGGAGGTCATGCAATTTACTGTTGATGAATCTTCATATATAAAGCATAAATGACAAAAATATTCAGAAAAATAAAGATATTAGAAATTCTTTCTTTAGCAAAGTGCATAAGCTCATACATTTCATGTATAATCACGAATTTATTTTTTTTTAATTTAATCACATGAACAATAATCTCCATAATTGTAAATGTTACATGTTATTTTATGCAACTTTGTTTCTTTTCCTGTAAACAATGAAATACATAGTGCATGCCCAGGGTATTGCATGTACGTCGACTTGACCTGTCTTAAATAACTACAAAAATACTTTTTATTTTTTTCTAGTTCTAACAAGCTTTTATGTCGTATGTCTCATTGGTTAGTATGATCGTGCACAGTTATATACTACTTATGAAAGATTATATATAATACATGAATGATGGGTAGTTTTACAAGTAAGAAGTTAATTTTTTCCTTAACAAAGTAAGCTTTAATAAATATTTAGGTAAACAACATTCTTTTTGCAAAGTTAAGTATTTTCATTACAAATTAATTTACATTAATGTAACTGAAATACAATATATTTCGTGCTTAGATATTGTCGATTTTAGTTAACTTTTCAAATGGCGGTTGCCAAGTTACTTTCTAATGTTGCCAGTTACATTTCCAAATATGGAATATTTGATATGAAATTATAAACTTGAGTTGATAAGTTGTGTACTTGAGTACTGAAGTTGTGAACCAAAGTTGCGAAGTACTAGCAAACGCGAAAGGTCTTTGTACCCTGTAGACATTTGGCAATGAATCCGTTCAGTAAGCAAGGAAAAGCTTTACCAGTAGAAGTAAGAAATGAAATACTTGAAATGTGGTTAAATAACTAGCGTTTGACAAACATTTCGAAACCACTAAACCTACCGTATAAGACTATATCAAATACAATAGATCTATGGGTAGACACTGGTTCTATTGTACCTCGCCAGAGCGAACGTGATGTTCGAACCACGCGTACAGATGACGTTATTGCATACACTGAATATCTAAAAATTAATAAACCATCTATTTACGCAAAAGAGATTTAGCAACACCTAGAAAATAACAAAGTTTGCCTCCAGCAAACATACCTAGTAGGTCATCCATTAGTAGAATTTTGAATAAAGATCTTGGTTACCCTTACAAGATAATAAGTCAAATTCCTCGAGAGACAGAACGGCCGGGCATTATGGAGAAGTTAGAAGCTTACCTCTTAACAGGGGCGGATCTAGGATTTTTCAAACATCAGTCATAAAACGTCGAAGGCGCTCCGCACCTGGGGGGGGTCTGAGGCATTCTCCCCTGAGAAATTTTGAATTTCAGAGTCTTGAAAATGCCATTTTCAGCGTTTTAGAGCAATACAAAATGTATTTGTGGGCATCGTTTTTGCGTAAAACAACACATTTTGCTTACGTTTTTTTTCAAAAAAAAAAAAAATGAAGTGAACAATACTTGAATGTTTTGCCAAATATTTAGGCTCGTTATCATGCCAAATATATGGCTCATTAGCATGTCTAGGAACGTAAAATTTATTTTACAATAATGCTATTCAAAAACAGATATAGTCTTTAAAAATTTCTACCAAGTTGTCAGGCATAGACCCCCCTAGAGACCCCCATTCAAACCTCTATGTAATGAGTTTAGTTAAGTTAGAAATTTGGTACTACAAGTGACAGTTCATAGATATAGAAAAGCTCAGACTTCAAACCATGCAAGTTTATTGTAACCCTTTACCCATCTCCACATCGGTGCCAGCAAATTCACCTTTTGAGAAAAAACTCAAAATTTTTTTCAGCCAAAGGTTAAGCAAAAATTATCAGAGTGAAAATTTGCAGTTAAGGATAGCCTAATGCCATAAATGTTTATTAGGCATTTCACTAGACTATTATCTCCTGTACATATATGCAAGGTGTGCTATATAGCAATCACTAGTAGCATTGTATTTGCAAATACAAACAGAATGTAACCAACATGTCTTTAATTATATAATTACATGAATGTTAAAATTGGTTCATGTGTCATGCTTACTGGTTATGATAAATATCTTTTCATATGATCAAAGCTTGTTTAAATGTAAATCAGAAATAATTTAGTTTAGAAATTATAATGATCATCAGAAAAATTACCTAGTGATCATGAAAAATACTTTGCTGTTTTGCCAAATTTCAAGGTTTATCTGCATACATAGAAAGACATTTTTACTTTATAGAAAATGCTTTTCATACATCAATAGCCCTTTGGAATTTATGGCAAACAATCTGGTATGAGCCGTAGATTAACACACCTTTACATCTCTACATGAGGTGTTCAGTTAGAAAAGGGGACAATATGTGACATGGGACAACATTCCATGTATGTGAAATACTCAGGTTTAATACCATTCCAGTCAAATTGTCAAAATAAAAAGCTTCATGGATCAGAAGACTCAAAATCACAGGTTATAGTAAACAGCTTCTCATGTAATCAATGTTAGTTTTCTCAAATCTTAAACAATATGTAGTATAACTGTCCAATGATTGAATGATCAATGATCATAAACTGAAAAACCCCAAACATTTGTTTATGATAAAGTAAATAATAGTATGGCGCCTTATGGCTACAGATTTTTTGTCCATTGAAATATATTTGCAGGAATGTAGGATTTCGCTGCCGTATAACGGCCACGATTCCCCAAGCACTAAAGAAATCATAGCTAAAAGTCCTTCGTCAACAACAATTTTAGAAGCATCGATCTGCTTACCATACGCCATATTGACATAAATCGCATCACACACTCGCATAAATTGACTTTGATATATTACATTCATGCATACACTTCAATTGTCCTTTACTTACGATTTTGGATGTAAATTTCTGCTGATAAAACTCAAAACAATGTTGGCTTTCTTTTGAACATCAATGACTGAAATGTCGCTCGCGAGATCGTCTTTGCCAAGCATTTAAAATTTATCCATAAATTTCCACCCTCTTGAAAAAATTCACATTTTGGACAGCAGCATTCATGTCAATATATGAATTTGTAAAAGATTTCCATAAATTCCATCTGATTGTAGTTTAGTTTCTATCATGCTTATTAAAATTACTATAAAACGATCAAACATTCAATTCAGACAGTGAGCTTGACTATGTTAGTTCAGTTGGCTATCAGTCGAAATCCGTCAAACCAATCACAATAAAGCAAAATTCAAATGAACCAATTGTAAGATAGCAATTGACTCCTTATACGTCCGGCCACCCTTATTATCAGTCGAGACCATTCCAGACTGTCCACTGATCTGGCTATTGACCAATAAAATAAGCGTTTTGACGTTCATAGACTCCTTTATCCGTCGAACCAGTCAAGCCACCCCGCTTATCAGTCGGTTATTCCAGGTCAATTAAAATTCAACTGATCTGGTTACCAACGAGATATTCATTGGATTAGTCATTAGTTTTCAATAATAAATAATGCGGGATTTTTATCACGAAGTAAATGCGATAAGAAAATAAGAATAATTAATGAATTTTTAATTAATATGAATAGGTAATTTTTGAATTTCAAACATCAGTCGCGCGACGGATTTGACATACTCTAGATCCGCCCCTGCCTCTTAAATATTTCATTGATTGATTGCAACCGTATGCATTTCTTTGATGAGTCGTCTGTAGTTGTTACGATTGGCAACAGACGTCGAAAGCACAGTATGCAGTGTACTCCTTTATTTGAAATCCAACGATACGCTTCTAGTGCCACATTTACTGTAAATTTATTACATAATATAAACGGCGTATCACATTATAACACTCTTAGAGGGCCGTCAAACGGATTAGATTTGCTAAAGCTTTTCCTTGTTTACTGAACGGATTCATTGCCGATTGTCTACAGGGTACAAAGATCTTTCGCGTTTGCTAGTACTTCCAAACTTTAGCTCACAACTTCAGTACTTAAGTACACAACTTGTCAACTCAAGTTTACAACTTCATATCGAATATTCCATATTTGGAAATATAACTGGCAACATTAGAAAGTTACTTGGCAACCGCCATTTGAAAAGTTAACTGAAATCCACAGTAACCTGAGGACAGTTTGACGATCGTAGGGCCATACTATTTATTAGTATTGATAATGTTTATTGTTGTTTATGTGTCTTTGTTTTTAGTAAATTGAAGAAAGTTAATTAATTTTATGAAGTTTTTATGTGTCTATACAGTTATAAGTTTTTTGACTTTAAGATAGTCAATTTGGCCTTTCTTGTGTTAATGTGAAAAAAAAATTGGTTTTTCTTTATTTGCAGCACTTGAGTATGCGGATCGTGTGTATGGTTATTCATGTACGGCAATATAACAATGTATTAGTAAAGAATAGTTTTATTAGTAAAAAGTTATTTTCCCCCTTAATAATGTAAGGTTTAATAAAACATGAACATTACCAACATTCTTTTTGCAAAATTAAATATTATTTTCATTACAAATTAATTTACATTAATGCAACTGGAATACAATATATTTCGTGCTTAGTTAACCTTTTATTTTGTAATTGTTGAAATAATATTTTGTTGGAGGTCATGCAATTTACTGTTGATGAATCTTCATATATAAAGCATAAATGACAAAAATATTCAGAAAAATAAAGATATTAGAAATTCTTTCTTTAGCAAAGTGCATAAGCTCATACATTTCATGTATAATCACGAATTTTCTTTTTTTAATTTAATCGCATGAACAATAATTTCCATAATTGTAACTGTTACATGTTATTTTATGCAACTTTGTTTCTTTTCCTGTAAACAATGAAATACATAGTGCATGCCCAGGGTATTGCATGCACGTCGACTTGACCTGTCTTATGTAATTATAAAAATACTTTATTTTTTTCTAGTTCTAAGCATTCTTTTACCTTTATGTTGCCTTGGCATTGGTTAGTATGATCGTGCACAGCTATATACTACTTATAAAAGATTCTATATAATACATAAATGATGGGTAGTTTTATAAGTAAGAAGTTAATTCTTTTCCTTAACAAAGTAAGTCTCAATAAATATTTAGGTAAACAACATTCTTTTTGCAAAGTTAAGTATTTTCATTACAAATTAATTTATATTAATGCAACTGGAATACAATATATTTCGTGCTTAGATATTGTCGATTTCAGTTAACTTTTCAAATGGTGGTTGCCAAGTTACTTTCTAATGTTGCCAGTTACATTTCCAAATACGAAATATTCGATATGAACTTGTGAACTTAAGTTCACAAGTTGTGTACTTGAGTACTGAAGTTGTGAACTAAAGTTGCGAAGTATTAGCAATCGTGAAAGGTCTTTGTACCCTGTATACATTTGGCAATGAATCCGTTCAGTAAGCAAGGAAAAGCTTTACCAGTAGAAGTAAGAAATGAAATACTTGAAATGTGGTTAAATAACTAGCGTTTGACAAACATTTCGAAACCACTAAACCTACCCCTTAAGACTATATCAAATACAATAGATCTATGGGTAGACACTGGTTCTATTGCACCTCAGCAGAGCGAACGTGATGTTCGAACCACGCGTACAGATGACGTTATTGCATACGCTGAATATCTAAAAATTAATAAACCATCTATTTACGCAAAAGAGACTTAGCAACATCTAGAAAATAACAAAGTTTGCCTTCTAGCAAACATACCTAGCAGGTCATCTATTAGTAGAATTTTGAATAAAGATCTTGGTTACACTTACAAGATAATAAGTCAAATTACACGTGAGACAGAACGGCCGGGCGTTATGGAGAAGTTAGAAGCTTAAATAGCAAATATTTCATTGATTGATTGCAACCGTATACATTTCTTTTATGAGTCGTCTGTAGTTGTTACGATTGGCAACAGACGTCGAGGGCACAGTATGCAGGGTACTCCTGCATTTGAAATCCAACGATATGCTTCTAGTGCTACATTTACTGTAAATTTATTACATAATGTGAACGGTGTATCACATTATAACACTCTTAGAGGGCCGTCAAACGGATTAGAATTGCTAAAGCGTTTCCTTGCTTACTGAACGGATTCATTGCCAAGTGTCTACTGGGTACAAAGACCTTTCGCATTTGCTAGTACTTCGCAACTTTAGTTCACAACTTCAGTACTTAAGTACACAACTTCAGTACTCAAGTACACAACTTGTCAACTCAAGTTGACAAGTTCATATCGAATATTCCATATTTGGAAATGTAAATGGCAACATTAGAAAGTACGGCAATATAACAATATATTAGTAAAGAATAGTTCTATTAGTAAAAAGTTATTTTTCCCCCTTAATAAGGTAAGGTTCAATAAAACATTCACATTACCAACATTCTTTTTGCAAAATTAAATATTATTTTTATTACAAATTAATTTACATTAATGCAACTGGAATACAATATATTTCGTGCTTAGTTAACCTTTTATTTCGTAAATTTTGAAATAACATTTTATTGGAGGTCATGCAATTTACTGTTGATGAATCTTCATATATAAAGCATAAATGACAAAAATATTCAGAAAAATAAAGATATTAGAAATTCTTTCTTTAGCAAAGTGCATAAGCTTATACATTTCATGCATAATAACGAATTTCCTTTTTTTAATTTAATCACATGAACAATAATCTCCATAGTTGTAATTGATGTTACATGTTATTTATTGCAACTTTGTTTCTTTTCCTGTAAACAATGAAATACATAGTGCATGCCCAGGGTACTGCATGTACGTCGACTTGACCTGTCTTATGTAATTATAAAAATACTTTTTATTTTTTTCTAGGTTTAGTATGCCTTCTTTATGGAGTTTTCATTGGTTAGTATGATCGTGCACAGCTATATACTACATATGAAAGATTATGTATAATACATAAATGATGGGTAGTTTTACAAGTAAGAAGTTAATTTTTTTCCTTAACAAAGGAAGGTTCAATAAATATTTAGGTAAACAACATTCTTTTTGCAAAATTAAATATTATTTTCATTACAAATTATTTTACATAAATGCAACTGGAATACAATATATTTCGTGCTTAGATATTGTCGATTTTAGTTAACTTTTCAAATGGCGGTTGCCAAGTTACTTTCTAATGTTGCCAGTTATATTTCCAAATATGGAATATATGATATGAAATTGTAAACTTGAGTTGATAAGTTGTGTATTGGAGTACTGAAGTTGTGAACTAAAGTTGCGAAGTACTAGCAAACGCGAAAGGTCTTTGTACCCTGTAGACATTTGGCAATGAATCCGTTCAGTAAGCAAGGAAAAGCTTTACCAGTAGAAGTAAGAAATGAAATACTTGAAATGTGGTTAAATAACTAGCGTTTGACAAACATTTCGAAACCACTAATCCTACCGTATAAGACTATATCAAATACAATAGATCTATAAGTAGGCACTGGTTCTATTGCACCTCGCCAGAGCGAACGTGATGTTCGAACCACGCGTACAGATGACGTTATTGCATACACTGAATATCTAAAAATTAATAAACCATCTATTTACGCAAAAGAGATTCAGCAACATCTAGAAAATAACAAAGTTTGCCTTCTTGCAAACATACCTAGCAGGTCATCTATTAGTAGAATTTTTAATAAAGACCTTGGTTACACTTGCAAGATAATAAGTCAAATTACACGTGAGACAGAACGGCCGGGCGTTATGGAGAAGTTAGAAGCTTAAATAGCAAATATTTCATTGATTGATTGCAACCGTATACATTTCTTTTATGAGTCGTCCGTAGTTGTTACGATTGGCAACAGACGTCCAGGGCACAGTATGCAGGGTACTCCTGCATTTGAAATCCAACGATATGCTTTTAGTGCTACATTTACTCTAAATTTATTACATAATGTGAACGGTGTATCACATTATAACACTCTTAGATGGATGTCAAACGGATTAGAATTGCTAAAGTTTTTCCTTGTTTACTGAACGGATTCATTGCCGATTGTCTACAGGGTACAAAGATCTTTCGCGTTTGCTAGTACTTCCAAACTTTAGCTCACAACTTCAGTACTTAAGTACACAACTTCAGTACTCAAGTACACAACTTGTCAACTCAAGTTTACAACTTCATATCGAATATTCCATATTTGGAAATATAACTGGCAACATTAGAAAGTTACTTGGCAACCGCCATTTGAAAAGTTAACTGAAATCCACAGTAACCTGAGGACAGTTTGACGATCGTAGGGCCATACTATTTATTAGTATTGATAACGTTTATTGTTGTTTATGTGTCTTTGTTTCTAGTAAATTGAAGAAAGTTAATTAATTTTATGAAGTTTTTATGTGTCTGTACAGTTATAAGTTTTTTGACTTTAAGATAGTCAATTTGGCCTTTCTTGTGTTAATGTGAAAACAAAATTTGTTTTTCTTTATTTGCAGCACTTTGGTTTGCGGATCGTGTGTATGGTCATTCATGTACGGCAATATAACAATGTATTAGTAAAGAATAGTTTTATTAGTAAAAAGTTATTTTTCCCCCTTAATAATGTAAGGTTTAATAAAACATGAACATTACCAACATTCTTTTTGCAAAATTAAATATTATTTTCATTACAAATTAATTTACATTAATGCAACTGGAATGCAATATATTTCGTGCTTAGTTAACCTTTTATTTTGTAATTGTTGAAATAATATTTGTTGGAGGTTGTGCAATTTACTGTTGATGAATCTTCATATATAAAGCATAAATGACAAAAATATTCAGAGAAATAAAGATATTAGAAATTCTTTCTTTAGCAAAGTGCATAAGCTCATACATTTTATGTATAATCACGAATTTTCTTTTTTTAATTTAATCGCATGAACAATAATCTCCATAATTGTAATTGTTACATGTTATTTTATGCAACTTTGTTTCTTTTCCTGTAAACAATGAAATACATAGTGCATGCCCAGAGTACTGCATGTATGTCGACTTGACCTGTCTTATGTAATTATAAAAATACTTTTTATTTTTTTCTAGGTTTAGTATACCTTCTTTTTGGAGCTTATTTGATTGGTTAGTATGATCGTGCACAGCTATATACTACATATGAAAGATTATATATAATACATAAATGATGGGTAGTTTTACAAGTAAGAAGTTAATTTTTTCCTTAACAAAGTAAGGTTCAATAAATATTTAGGTAAACAACATTCTTTTTGCAAAGTTAAGTATTCTCATTACAAATTAATTTACATTAATGCAACTGGAATACAATATATTTCGTGCTTAGTTAACCTTTTATTTCGTAAATTTTGAAATTACATTTTGTTCGAGGTCATGCAATTTACTGTTGATGAATCTTCATATATAAAGCATAAATGACAAAAATATTCAGAAAAATAAAGATATTAGAAATTCTTTCTTTAGCAAAGTGCATAAGCTTATACATTTCATGTATAATAACAAATTTCCTTTTTTTAATTTGATCACATGAACAATAATCTCCATAATTGTAATTGATGTTACATGTTATTTATTGCAACTTTGTTTCTTTTCCTGTAAACAATGAAATACATAGTGCATGCCCAGGGTATTGCATGTACGTCGACTTGACCTGTCTTATGTAATTATAAAAATACTTTTTATTTTTTTCTAGGTGTAGTATACCTTCTTTATGGAGTTTTCAGTGGTTAGTATGATCGTGCACAGCTATATACTACATATGAAAGATTATATATAATACATAAATGATGGGTAGTTTTACAAGTAAGAAGTTAATTTTTTTCCTTAACAAAGTAAGGTTCAATAAATATTTAGGTAAACAACATTCTTTTTGCAAAATTAAATATTATTTTCATTACAAATTATTTTACAATAATGCAACTGGAATACAATATATTTCGTGCTTAGATATTGTCGATTTTAGTTAACTTTTCAAATGGCGGTTGCCAAGTTACTTTCTAATGTTGCCAGTTAAATTTCCAAATATGGAATATATGATATGAAATTGTAAACTTGAGTTGATAAGTTGTGTATTTGAGTACTGAAGTTGTGAACTAAAGTTGCGAAGTACTAGCAAACGCGAAAGGTCTTTGTACCCTGTAGACATTTGGCAATGAATCCGTTCAGTAAGCAAGGAAAAGCTTTACCAGTAGAAGTAAGAAATGAAATACTTGAAATGTGGTTAAATAACTAGCGTTTGACAAACATTTCGAAACCACTAAACCTACCGTATAAGACTATATCAAATAGAATAGATCTATGGGTAGACACTGGTTCTATTGCACCTCGCCAGAGCGAACGTGATGTTCGAACCACGCGTACAGATGACGTTATTGCATACACTGAATATCTAAAAATTAATAAACCATCTATTTACGCAAAAGAGATTTAGCAACACCTAGAAAATAACAGAGTTTGCCTTCCAGCAAACATACCTAGTAGGTCATCCATTAGTAGAATTTTGAATAAAGATCTTGGTTACTCTTACAAGATAATAAGTCAAATTCATCGAGAGACAGAACGGCCGGGCATTATGGAGAAGTTAGAAGCTTACCTAACTAATATTTCATTGATTGATTGCAACCGTATGCATTTCTTTGATGAGTCGTCTGTTGTTACGATTGGCAACAGACGTCGAAAGCACAGTATGCAGGGTACTCCTGCATTTGAAATCCAACGATATGCTTCTAGTGCTACATTTACTGTAAATTTATTACATAATATAAACGGCGTATCACATTATAACACTCTTAGAGGGCCGTCAAACGGATTAGAATTGCTAAAGCTTTTCCTTGTTTACTGAACGGATTCATTGCCGATTGTCTACAGGGTACAAAGATCTTTCGCGTTTGCTAGTACTTCCAAACTTTAGCTCACAACTTCAGTACTTAAGTACACAACTTCAGTACTCAAGTACACAACTTGTCAACTCAAGTTTACAATTTTGGATCGAATATTCCATATTTGGAAATATAACTGGCAACATTAGAAAGTTACTTGGCAACCGCCATTTGAAAAGTTAACTGAAATCCACAGTAACCTGAGGACAGTTTGACGATCGTAGGGCCATACTATTTATTAGTATTGATAATGTTTATTGTTGTTTATGTGTCTTTGTTTCTAGTAAATTGAAGAAAGTTAATTAATTTTATGAAGTTTTTATGTGTCTGTACAGTTATAAGTTTTTTGACTTTAAGATAGTCAATTTGGCCTTTCTTGTGTTAATGTGAAAACAAAATTTGTTTTTCTTTATTTGCAGCACTTTGGTTTGCGGATCGTGTGTATGGTTATTCATGTACGGCAATATAACAATGTATTAGTAAAGAATAGTTTTATTAGTAAAAAGTTATTTTTCCCCCTTAATAATGTAAGGTTTAATAAAACATGAACATTACCAACATTCTTTTGCAAAATTAAATATTATATTCATTACAAATTAATTTACATTAATGCAACTGGAATGCAATATATTTCGTGCTTAGTTAACCTTTTATTTTGTAATTGTTGAAATAATATTTGTTGGAGGTTATGCAATTTACTGTTGATGAATCTTCATATATAAAGCATAAATGACAAAAATATTCAGAGAAATAAAGATATTAGAAATTCTTTCTTTAGCAAAGTGCATAAGCTCATACATTTTATGTATAATCACGAATTTTCTTTTTTTAATTTAATCGCATGAACAATAATCTCCATAATTGTAATTGTTACATGTTATTTTATGCAACTTTGTTTCTTTTCCTGTAAACAATGAAATACATAGTGCATGCCCAGGGTACTGCATGTACGTCGACTTGACCTGTCTTATGTAATTATAAAAATACTTTTTATTTTTTTCTAGGTTTAGTATACCTTCTTTTTGGAGCTTATTTGATTGGTTAGTATGATCGTGCACAGCTATATACTACATATGAAAGATTATATATAATACATAAATGATGGGTAGTTTTACAAGTAAGAAGTTAATTTTTTCCTTAACAAAGTAAGGTTCAATAAATATTTAGGTAAACCACATTCTTTTTGCAAAGTTAAGTATTTTCATTACAAATTAATTTACATTAATGCAACTGGAATACAATATATTTCGTGCTTAGTTAACCTTTTATTTCGTAAATTTTGAAATTACATTTTGTTCGAGGTCATGCAATTTACTGTTGATGAATCTTCATATATAAAGCATAAATGACAAAAATATTCAGAAAAATCAAGATATTAGAAATTCTTTCTTTAGCAAAGTGCATAAGTTTATACATTTCATGTATAATAACAAATTTCCTTTTTTTAATTTGATCACATGAACAATAATCTCCATAATTGTAATTGATGTTACATGTTATTTATTGCAACTTTGTTTCTTTTCCTGTAAACAATGAAATACATAGTGCATGCCCAGGGTATTGCATGTACGTCGACTTGACCTGTCTTATGTAATTATAAAAATACTTTTTATTTTTTTCTAGGTGTAGTATACCTTCTTTATGGAGTTTTCAGTGGTTAGTATGATCGTGCACAGCTATATACTACATATGAAAGATTATATATAATACATAAATGATGGGTAGTTTTACAAGTAAGAAGTTAATTTTTTTTCCTTAACTAAGTAAGGTTCAATAAATATTTAGGTAAACAACATTCTTTTTGCAAAATTAAATATTATTTTCATTACAAATTATTTTACAATAATGCAACTGGAATACAATATATTTCGTGCTTAGATATTGTCGATTTTAGTTAACTTTTCAAATGGCGGTTGCCAAGTTACTTTCTAATGTTGCCAGTTAAATTTCCAAATATGGAATATATGATATGAAATTGTAAACTTGAGTTGATAAGTTGTGTATTGGAGTACTGAAGTTGTGAACTAAAGTTGCGAAGTACTAGCAAACGCGAAAGGTCTTTGTACCCTGTAGACATTTGGCAATGAATCCGTTCAGTAAGCAAGGAAAAGCTTTACCAGTAGAAGTAAGAAATGAAATACTTGAAATGTGGTTAAATAACGAGCGTTTGACAAACATTTTGAAACCACTAAACCTACCGTATAAGACTATATCAAATAGAATAGATCTATGGGTAGACACTGGTTCTATTGCACCTCGCCATAGCGAACGTGATGTTCGAACCACGCGTACAGATGACGTTATTGCATACGCTGAATATCTAAAAATTAATAAATCATCTATTTACGCAAAAGAGATTCAGCAACACCTAGAGAATAACAAAGTTTGCCTTCCAGCAAACATACCTAGCAGGTCATCCATTAGTAGATTTTCGAAAAGAGATCTTGTTTACACTTACAAGATAATAAGTCAAATTACACGTGAGACAGAACGGCCGGGCGTTATGGAGAAGTTAGAAGCTTAAATAGCAAATATTTCATTGATTGATTGCAACCGTATACATTTCTTTTATGAGTCGTCTGTAGTTGTTACGATTGGCAACAGACGTCGAGGGCACAGTATGCAGGGTACTCCTGCATTTGAAATCCAACGATATACTTCTAGTGCTACATTTACTGTAAATTTATTGCATAATGTGAACGGCGTATCACATTATAACACTCTTAGAGGGCCGTCAAACGGATTAGAATTGCTAAAGCGTTTCCTTGCTTACTGAACGGATTCATTGCCAAGTGTCTACTGGGTACATAGACCTTTCGCATTTGCTAGTACTTCGCAACTTTAGTTCACAACTTCAGTACTTAAGTACACAACTTCAGTACTCAAGTACAAAACTTGTCAACTCAAGTTGACAAGTTCATATCGAATATTCCATATTTGGAAATGTAAATGGCAACATTAGAAAGTACGGCAATATAACAATGTATTAGTAAAGAATAGTTCTATTAGTAAAAAGTTATTTTTCCCCCTTAATAAGGTAAGGTTCAATAAAACATTCACATTACCAACATTCTTTTTGCAAAATTAAATATTATTTTTATTACAAATTAATTTACATTAATGCAACTGGAATACAATATATTTCGTGCTTAGTTAACCTTTTATTTCGTAAATTTTGAAATAACATTTTGTTGGAGGTCATGCAATTTACTGTTGATGAATCTTCATATATAAAGCATAAATGACAAAAATATTCAGAAAAATAAAGATATTAGAAATTCTTTCTTTAGCAAAGTGCATAAGCTTATACATTTCATGTATAATAACGAATTTCCTTTTTTTTAATTTGATCACATGAACAATAATCTCCATAATTGTAATTGATGTTACATGTTAATTATTGCAACTTTGTTTCTTTTCCTGTAAACAATGAAATACATAGTGCATGCCCAGGGTATTGCATGTACGTCGACTTGACCTGTCTTATGTAATTATAAAAATACTTTTTATTTTTTTCTAGGTTTATTATACCTTCTTTATGTAGTTTCCATTGGTTAGTATGATCGTGCACAGCTATATACTACATATGAAAGATTATATATAATACATAAATGATGGGTAGTTTTACAAGTAAGAAGTTAATTTTTTTCCTTAACTAAGTAAGGTTCAATAAATATTTAGGTAAACAACATTCTTTTTGCAAAATTAAATATTATTTTCATTACAAATTATTTTACAATAATGCAACTGGAATACAATATATTTCGTGCTTAGATATTGTCGATTTTAGTTAACTTTTCAAATGGCGGTTGCCAAGTTACTTTCTAATGTTGCCAGTTAAATTTCCAAATATGGAATATATGATATGAAATTGTAAACTTGAGTTGATAAGTTGTGTATTTGAGTACTGAAGTTGTGAACTAAAGTTGCGAAGTACTAGCAAACGCGAAAGGTCTTTGTACCCTGTAGACATTTGGCAATGAATCCGTTCAGTAAGCAAGGAAAAGCTTTACCAGTAGAAGTAAGAAATGAAATACTTGAAATGTGGTTAAATAACGAGCGTTTGACAAACATTTCGAAACCACTAAACCTACCGTATAGGACTATATCAAATACAATAGATCTCTGGGTAGACACTGGTTCTATTGCACCTCGCCATAGCGAACGTGATGTTCGAACCACGCGTACAGATGACGTTATTGCATACGCTGAATATCTAAAAATTAATAAATCATCTATTTACGCAAAAGAGATTCAGCAACACCTAGAGAATAACAAAGTTTGCCTTCCAGCAAACATACCTAGCAGGTCATCCATTAGTAGATTTTCGAAAAGAGATCTTGTTTACACTTACAAGATAATAAGTCAAATTACACGTGAGACAGAACGGCCGGGCGTTATGGAGAAGTTAGAAGCTTAAATAGCAAATATTTCATTGATTGATTGCAACCGTATACATTTCTTTTATGAGTCGTCTGTAGTTGTTACGATTGGCAACAGACGTCGAGGGCACAGTATGCAGGGTACTCCTGCATTTGAAATCCAACGATATGCTTCTAGTGCTACATTTACTGTAAATTTATTACATAATGTGAACGGCGTATCACATTATAACACTCTTAGAGGGCCGTCAAACGGATTAGAATTGCTAAAGCGTTTCCTTGCTTACTGAACGGATTCATTGCCAAGTGTCTACTGGGTACAAAGACCTTTCGCATTTGCTAGTACTTCGCAACTTTAGTTCACAACTTCAGTACTTAAGTACACAACTTCAGTACTCAAGTACAAAACTTGTCAACTCAAGTTGACAAGTTCATATCGAATATTCCATATTTGGAAATGTAAATGGCAACATTAGAAAGTACGGCAATATAACAATGTATTAGTAAAGAATAGTTCTATTAGTAAAAAGTTATTTTTCCCCCTTAATAAGGTAAGGTTCAATAAAACATTCACATTACCAACATTCTTTTTGCAAAATTAAATATTATTTTTATTACAAATTAATTTACATTAATGCAACTGGAATACAATATATTTCGTGCTTAGTTAACCTTTTATTTCGTAAATTTTGAAATAACATTTTGTTCGAGGTCATGCAATTTACTGTTGATGAATCTTCATATATAAAGCATAAATGACAAAAATATTCAGAAAAATAAAGATATTAGAAATTCTTTCTTTAGCAAAGTGCATAAGTTTATACATTTCATGTATAATAACAAATTTCCTTTTTTTAATTTGATCACATGAACAATAATCTCCATAATTGTAATTGATGTTACATGTTATTTATTGCAACTTTGTTTCTTTTCCTGTAAACAATGAAATACATAGTGCATGCCCAGGGTATTGCATGTACGTCGACTTGACCTGTCTTATGTAATTATAAAAATACTTTTTATTTTTTTCTAGGTTTATTATACCTTCTTTATGGAGTTTCCATTGGTTAGTATGATCGTGCACAGCTATATACTACATATGAAAGATTATATATAATACATAAATGATGGGTAGTTTTACAAGTAAGAAGTTAATTTTTTTCCTTAACTAAGTAAGGTTCAATAAATATTTAGGTAAACAACATTCTTTTTGCAAAATTAAATATTATTTTCATTACAAGTTTTTTTACAATAATGCAACTGGAATACAATATATTTCGTGCTTAGATATTGTCGATTTTAGTTAACTTTTCAAATGGCGGTTGCCAAGTTACTTTCTAATGTTTCCAGTTAAATTTCCAAATATGGAATATATGATATGAAATTGTAAACTTGAGTTGATAAGTTGTGTATTTGAGTACTGAAGTTGTGAACTAAAGTTGCGAAGTACTAGCAAACGCGAAAGGTCTTTGTACCCTGTAGACATTTGGCAATGAATCCGTTCAGTAAGCAAGGAAAAGCTTTACCAGTAGAAGTAAGAAATGAAATACTTGAAATGTGGTGAAATAACTAGCGTTTGACAAACATTTCGAAACCACTAAACCTACCGTATAAGACTGTATCAAATACAATAGACCTATGGGTAGACACTGGTTCTATTGCACCTCACCAGAGCGAACGTGATGTTCGAACCACGCGTACAGATGACGTTATTGCATACACTGAATATCTAAAAATTAATAAACCATCTATTTACGCAAAAGAGACTTAGCAACATCTAGAAAATAACAAAGTTTGCCTTCTTGCAAACATACCTAGCAGGTCATCTATTAGTAGAATGTTGAATAAAGATCTTGGTTACACTTACAAGATAATAAGTCAAATTACACGTGAGACAGAACGGCCGGGCGTTATGGAGAAGTTAGAAGCTTAAATAGCAAATATTTCATTGATTGATTGCAACCGTATACATTTCTTTTATGAGTCGTCTGTAGTTGTTACGATTGACAACAGACCTCGAGGGCACAGTATGCAGGATACTCCTGCATTTGAAATCCAACGATACGCTTCTAGTGCCACATTTACTGTAAATTTATTACATAATGTGAACGGCGTATCACATTATAACACTCTTAGAGGGCCGTCAAACGGATTAGAATTGCTAAAGTTTTTCCTTGCTTACTGAACGGATTCATTGCCAAGTGTCTACAGGGTACAAAGACCTTTCGCATTTGCTAGTACTTCGCAACTTTAGTTCACAACTTCAGTACTTAAGTACACAACTATTTGCTAAAGCTTTTCCTTGTTTACTGAACGGATTCATTGCCGATTGTCTACAGGGTACAAAGATCTTTCGCGTTTGCTAGTACTTCCAAACTTTAGCTCACAACTTCAGTACTTAAGTACACAACTTGTCAACTCAAGTTTACAACTTCATATCGAATATTCCATATTTGGAAATATAACTGGCAACATTAGAAAGTTACTTGGCAACCGCCATTTGAAAAGTTAACTGAAATCCACATTAACCTGAGGACAGTTTGACGATCGTAGGTCCATACTATTTATTAGTATTGATAATGTTTATTGTTGTTTATGTGTCTTTATTTTTAGTAAATTGAAGAAAGTTAATTAATTTTATGAAGTTTTTATGTGTCTATACAGTTATAAGTTTTTTGACTTTAAGATAGTCAATTTGGCCTTTCTTGTGTTAATGTGAAAACAAAATTTGTTTTTCTTTATTTGCAGCACTTGGGTATGCGGATCGTGTGTATGGTTATTCATGTACGGCAATATAACAATGTATTAGTAAAGAATAGTTTTATTAGTAAAAAGTTATTTTTCCCCCTTAATAATGTAAGGTTTAATAAAACATGAACATTACCAACATTCTTTTTGCAAAATTAAATATTATTTTCATTACGAATTATTTTACAATAATGCAACTGGAATACAATATTATGGTGTATGAAATGAGATTTTTGTATATTTCCCAGTTTTCTTTGAAAGGTTTGTCCAACAATTGTTCATAGAATGAGTAAATATCTACTCAACATAAAATCTTTGATTCTAATTTATATTACTCTGCTAAATATCGTTTAATCGTTTCAAAACTAGGTTCCAATAATTTTCAAGAGCCAACATTAAAAGAATCTGAAACTGATCCATCGATGAAAAAAGATAACAGTATTTATGCAGACTTTTGTTAATTAAGATATCATAGTAGCTATCACCATCCTTAGACGGAAAACTTAGACAAATCACTGAATCCTGGTTAGCTTGAATCATATAAACAGCTCTTAAGTATTGAAATTTTGCAATTTTAACTTTGTTATAACCTTCTGAATTTTTGTTTTTTTTTTAAATTGGAGAAATATCAATTAATTTCAGGAAGCTTTTTATGTCTATAAAGTCTCAGTTTTTTAACAATATAGTTAAAACAGTCAACTTGACGTGTCTTTTGCAATTGTAAAAATAATTTTTATTTTTCTTTACTTGCAGAAATTAAGCGACTTAGCGAAGGTTAGTATGGTCAAAACAGACACTTACGGTGTTTGCACAGGCTGGCTTTACTCAAATGTAATCTTTATTGCCTTTTGAAATGTTAAGTACAAACAAGAATGCAATGTAACCATTTAGATTCGTTTATATCTTCCTTATTCACATACTTTTGTTAATGGTCAAAAATATGAGATGTAATGAAGAGTGAAATAACTCAGCAAGTATTCCTTTTATCTTGCTATGATATATTAACCGTGTAATGTAATGCATTAATTTCCAGCTTCTTACGAAAAGATATCTTTGCCATTTCCCATGAGTGACAACGACTATGACGACATTGACAAAACTCCTTCTACAACAGTACTTGGTAAGAAATTGTATTTTGTTAGCAAACATTTGCACAAACATCTTTACATTCCCTTTAAAAGTCAGACACAAACATAAGAGTCGTTTATATCATGCGTATCATTCATACGTTTGTAAAGGGTCAGATAAGAGAATTTTAGAAATTTTTGATCATACTGTAATTTTATTTAATTGCATTGCAAGAAATTAGTTTGATTTATCTATTAGATGATGATAACAGTGAAGTCATCATTGGTGTTTCGCCTTCTACATCAAAACCTGGTTAGCAAAAAAATTTTGTTAGCCAACATTTGCCCAAACATTTCCATGTTTTGCAACGCTAAATACAAACAATAATTTGTAGCCTAATAAATTAATTTTAAAAGGTATCGTTATATGTAGCCAACAAACTTTGTTATCATAGAAATTTGATCAATATGTATAGAAAGTGAAAACTGGCTATGATGCTAAAAGTGAATTGTGAAAACCATCATGATCAACGTGTCAGTTACATGTATACGTTACACGTACACAAATGAACTTAAATAGAATATTGTTGAAAACATCCTTTTAAAACATATTATTTGATTATTTATAGCCAATAAAAGCCAATAATTATGTTTACGAATACATAGTTTCATTTAGCGTTTAGGTGGTAGCTAGATGCCCTGATGTTGGATCTAAGCTACCGTTTCCTTTAATTTTTTTGTGACAGATAACTGTTTCAAGAGATATTTATAGTGTGTTATGTAAAAGTGAATTATTAGTTTTACGGAAAAACTTGCAATAAACCCACGTTGTTATTTTTCCACCCAAAAGATTAGAAACCACAAAGTAAGGTAGTTCAACTCACTGGTTCAACTCCCTCTTTGTAAACACACGGTATTAGCATAACCATGCTTGTAATATTTGCAAGACCGAATCACATACAATAAATGGCTACGTAACTGCAAATTCTAAATAAATTATGGCTCGCTGAAAGGTTTGAGGGGGAGTGTTCTACGTCATGGGACCAACTTTATTGTGACTTTATTGGATCAAATATCCCAAAATTTTAGTCAGACCGACATTTTTCGTCTTTTATCCGTTTGTGGATCTACTTTTTATTCATATTTTACAAAAACTGGGTAGTGTAACATGTGATGTACACTTTTATTTTCTTTATCATGTATTTAGATGCAGATGATAATTTGGATCTAAACACAGGTAACCTTAAAAACATTAGGTTCTTTAATTCTCCGAACTCTTTTCACCTCGACAGATGCTTTCATCTTTGATTTTTCAATCTCAATGTTTCCCCATTTAAAGGGACTGCACTGCATATTTACATAAGATCGTTATACCAGAATATTGGCATAAAGTCGTTAAAAGTATGCAAAGCCGATGTGGGCAGCAAAAAATTAAAATGCATGCCAAAAAATGTTCTTTATGAAAATGTTCTTTGTGACTTAGATATTGGCGTGAGTCGTTTGAAAAATAACAAGCGTTGTTTTTAAAATGTCAGCGTTTTGACAGATTGCTATTTTTATCCGAAACCTTCAGAATAAAAAATTCTTACCATTGAATGAATTATTTTATTGTGTTGTGTTCAGCAAATATCAATTATTCATTACATTGACGGCAAATTAATTATTTAATTTACACTCCTGAAACTGAAAACGATTAATGCGTTATATTTTGTGTTTCCCTACCATCTGGTTTACTTAAACAAAATTAAAATAATCTGTTTTTGTTCTTCCCAAAGTCTCCTACTTTTTATCTAATGAAAAAAAATGCGCAAGTGATCAGTTAACTGCCACGTGTAAATTTAACATAACGTTGTTTTTAAGATTTATTTTTATTACTGCAATAAGAAAGAAACGACATCGAAAAGGTCGGTATAGTCATGCAAAAACAAATAGTAATAATGTTTATATGGTTGTTTATGTCTGCTTATGTTCAATGTATTTGAAAAGTGTTACCTTCAAACTCCAGTTTTTCTCTCTCAGCTTTTTTACCCGTGTAAAATTCAAACAATGGCTGTAGATTCTCCATGCGTGAAACGTAGTCGTATCATGAACATTAATGCCCAGCTTATTGCAATAATTTAAAATGCCATTGTAGTCAGAAATATGAAAAGAGGAAATTTTATTGACGTTTCATCGCAGCGCTCGACATCTTTAGAATGGTAGTATAAGTATGGAATAAGATTACAAAAAGGATATAAGTATTTGCAATGTATGAATAAATTAAGTAGTAAAACAGGGATTAACCAATCACAGGAAGAACCTTATGTTCTTATATCATCATTCTAAAGATTTCGAGGGGCGTTCAACTCACAGCAGGTTCTATACTTCTATTGGAAATAATGATGCGATGCTGAAATCCATGAACGCTTTCATTTCATGTATCATTTTTTATTGTTATCAGATTTATTAGCATTTACACGAACATTTTCTTTTCACTTCATTCTCAATACCACTGCGGCAGAGTCAAGAATGCGGGTGTGATATCAGGTACCAAGTAGCAAGTACTGGGTAACATGTAGCGGGGTAATGCCAGAGAAGACTGGTACTATTTAGCATTATAATATAATACCGGATAAACGCTTTATTAAAAAGGCGTATTGAACTTGTTGTGGTAAAAAAAACGGCGATTCAATGAAGAAACTTAACGAATTTAATTGTAAGTCTTAAAAGTTTTATTGTCCGAAGCTTTCACCGTTTTTAACAAAAAAATATTCTTTTGTTTATGTTGTTTTGTATAACATTGGAAGCATTGCGAATTGAAATTTGTGTTTGCATGCATTAAAAGCTGAATATACTGACTGAATATTCTGATATTTTGTCCTCGATACGTTGCTTCCTCCATTTGTGCACACGTAATTTTCTCCTTTGACGATAAACATAACAAAATAATTTCTTAGCTTCCTTTCAAAATCAAAGCAAAATGCAGGAGGAATTTACTACTTGAAAGCAAGAACATTTGGAATACCAAAAACACTAAAAAAAATGTTAGCGTTTTCCAAGAAAGAAAAGTAAAAAGCAAGCAATGCAACAACTGCTACTTCTTTTTTTTCTTTTTTTTCAAGAGTGGTCATTCCACGTAATTCTCAAAGCGAATCGGCAAATATTTATTTTCATTGCGCAAATCAATCACAATGTGTGGCAAAGACACAATGCTACTTATATGGGCGCCTGTATTCAATTCTTCTTGAATTAGGCACATCTTAGATAACAATTGGAAATGCAATATTTTCGCACAAAGAATAATTTATACGAATAAACTTCTACCAGGTACCCTCCCCTCGGTATTTGCTTTCCGATATCTGCTTTCCAATACTTGGTACCCCGTGCTTATGCCCTTGTTTTTTTATCATGCCAATCTTTTGCAAAGAATGCTGGAAAATTTGTTAAAAAACATTATTATCTGTGATTAGCTAAGTTACAACAACAGGTTTATTCGTCCCTAAAAAGACGTAAAAAGAGTCATTCACACATAACACTGACTGAAAATGTACTGTTCTTGATTTTCACTCTTAAAATATCACTGAGTTTTTAAAGTAGATGTATACAAGTAATATACAATTTGACAATTGACGTATGAATTGACGTTCTTTGGGATAGATTTTTGTGGTTGTTAACTCCTGTTTGCTGTTTGTATAAACTGTCTTGGAGCAAATTTAATTCATTTAAGAGGCTTTTTGTCTCTATTTAGTCACATTTTTTAACAATAAGATATTCAATTTGAAGTATAATGCGTAAATGTGATAATAATGTGATTTTTTTATACATTGCAGATAGTAACGATAATGATGTTGAAGGTTAGTTTATCATGTAGTATAATACTTACAAATGTTTATAAATAACGCATTAATGACAATAGTTTTGTCACCGTCTAATTATTTATGTACCGAGAGGTGTATTTAAGCATTTATCTTCTCCAGGTCTCTCAATTCTCAGGTTTTCTTTTCACGTTGGCATATCTGTTCTCTTTCAAGTTACTTAGCATTCCAATCCTTTTTCTTTCCTTATGTTTTTTACAATTAACTCTTTCCTCGTCCACTTCTTTTAACAAGTTATTACCGCGAAAGATGTGTCAATTCTACGTCTTTTTAATTCTATGGTATTTCTACCCAACAGCTCTCTTATTTCATCTACAACATCAACATAATTTCTATTGTTTTCCTTTCTATTCAGCCTGATCTCCATTCTTCCCGAGATTCACATCACAAGTGCCTCTATCTTTCTCATATCTTTCCTTCGCTTTTCATGACTATGATCCAAAAAAATACTACAAGCACTAAACAACTGTTTTGATGATTCAATTTTTCTTTTTCCTACGTATACCTTTTGTGAGTACTTTTCTTTTGTTGAAAGCTGATTTTGCCATTTCTCTTTTCATTTTTATCTCTTGTCATTATCTGTTATCAAGGAACCCAAATAACAAATATGTTTTACCTGCGTAATTCTTCATTCAAAACTATATCAAGATTGCCGCCAAATTATTTGGAAACTGCAGTAACTTTTGTCGTCTTTATATTTATGCTCATACCATATTCTCATGATACACCACCCAATCTATCTAAGATATTCTGCATAATTTTTTCGTCATAAATGCGTGTTATCATCCGTAAGAAACAATTATTTTCAAAAGAACTTGATCTTGCAAAACATGTATAATGAATATTATTATGTCATTATCGAGTTAGCTACGCCACTGAGGAAAGCTGTGTATTGTATTATATTATCATTTGGTAATGTTATTTATTTGCATTGTTCCAGCTTCTAAAATAAGAGAACCTTCTGAATGTCAATTGAATGATAATGACAGTTTGGAAGACAGCGATGCAATGCCTTCATCAGGTAACAAAATTTTTATTTTTTAGAAAAATCATTCTTTATTGTCGTTCTGTTTCCTGCTTGTCTCTCAGCTTATATTTACAATGTAAATTTTACATTAAAGTGTATAAGAGTGATTATTGAAGAAAAACAGGTACGCAATGAGTACATGTAACAGCCTTTCTTCAACACAGTTCAAATGATCCATATTTAACGAACATAAAATGTATGAGACATTTATATAAAATTTATAAAAGCCTCTTTAAGAAGTGAAAGATTATAATTTCACAACTATGATAATAATTTTGTAAAATATTGTCACAAACACTACTTACGCAAGCTATTGAAAATCTCACACACTGGGCTAGCCAAAAACACAAAATAGTGACTTCTCTGAAAATACCTCAAATTTATACAATGAATTTATCATTGCTAGGGCATTTATACTCTAGCATAAGATGGTTTCGGTAGTGTGACACCCTGTATAATTGTACTGCACAGAAAAAAATATCACGTATCATATAGCGTCTTTCAAGCTATTATTTAATTCATGGGATACAACAATATCATGACTTTTGCATGGCTTTACAGAAGTTTATCATAATTTAGCCAGTCATATTCACGCACTTTTGTCGTCATACAAAACATTGAAGCGTAAGTTTAAATTGTCATTATTCTAAGGTATAGCCTGAGTTCGGGTAATCCATACAGTCCCTTTTTGCGTTCCTAAATATATGACCAAAACATGGACGTCTTTTAAAGTACAATTGTTAAAATTTTCAGCGACTAAAAATCAAAAACCTCTCTTTAAGCTTTAGAATAAGTTTTAAAAAACCACTGATGATTGTTAGAAAAAAGTTAGCCACATCATGAGCATGACAAGCCAGTCTGTGATTATGTTTTATAGCTAGATTGAATTGCTTACTTACTTTTTTAAATGCATTTCAAGCAGTTACTTTGCTGTGTTTCAATGTAATTATACTGTTGTTTTTATGTTTAGTTTGTCGTGCGATAGAAGAAGGTACATTTTATTTCAATGTGAATCCACAGTGCTATCCGCAGTTATTGGTGCTAATTATTTTATGACTCCTGTCAACTTTGAAATCTAATTTATGTTTTAGTTTCCCATAATGATGAACTTAAAAAAGTAGACCAATCTTCATCTTCTAGTACAATGAGTAATACGAATTTTTGATATTTATTAATGGAGCTTGAAACTCTGTTCTTTGCATTAATGTTCTTGTCTTATTCTCTATAGAGCAACATATAAAAAGAGAGGGTATTTTGCCCAATATCACGTCTTTAGAAAGTGATGAAAAAAGTAAAATGAGAGGTAATGAAGTGGGAAATTATTGTGGAATAGCTCACCAAATATTACCTTAATCTTGCTGCATGCGATGTTTTGTAATTATGTTATCATATTATTGTATTGTTACAGCATTTGAAGATGTTAACGTTGCCAAAAGTGCTGTGCCTTCTAAATCGGAAGCTGGTAAGTAACAGTCTTTTCTTTACTTCCCAGCCTCATATTATCAACGTAAATTATACATGTAAATCTACATTCTACATACACAGTTACTAGTTTCTTTACTGAATTTCTAAAATACAACATTACTACTAAATTTTTCACATTTTAAAAGGTGAGCTAAAAGTTTTGCATAGTACTGTACTGCATAATAACATAAGATCGTTACACTAGAATATTTGCACAAGATCGTTAAAAGTATGCAAAGCCGATGTGGGCGGCAAAAAATTAAAATGCATGCTAAAAAATGTTCTTTATGAAAATGCTCTTTGTGACTTAGATATTGGCGTGAGTCGTTTGAAAAATAACAAGCGTTGTTTTCAAAATGTCAGCGTTTTGACATTTCGCTATTTTTATCCGAAACCCTAAGAATAAAAAATTCTTATCATTGAATGAATTATTTTATTGTGTGTTCAGCAAATATCAAGTATTCATTAAATTGACGGCAAATTAATTATTTAATTTACACTCCTGAAACTGAAAACGATTAATGCGTTATATTTTGTGTTTCCCTACCATCTGGTTTACTTAAACAAAATCAAAATAATCTGTTTTTGTTCTTCCCAAAGTCTCCTACTTTTTATCTAATGAAAAAAAAATGCGCAAGTGATCAGTTAACTGCCACGTGTAAATTTAACGTAACGTTGTTTTTAAGATTTGTTTTTTTAATATTGCAATAAAAAAGAAACGACATCGAAAAGGTCGGTATAGTCATGGTAGTATAAGTATGGTATAAGATTACAAAAAGGATATAAGTATTTACAATGTATGAATAAATTAAGTAGTAAAACAGGGATTAACCAATCACAGGAAGCCTTATATTCTTATATCATCATTCTAAAGATGTTGAGGGATCTTCAACCCACAGCAGGTTCTATACTTCTATTAGAAAAATGATGCGATGCAGAAATCCATGAACGCTTTTATTTCATGTATCATTTTTTATTATTATCAGATTTATTAGCATTTACACGAACATTTTCTTTTCACTTGATTCTCAATACCACTGCGGCAGAGTCAAGAATGCGGGTGTGATACCAGGTACCAAGTAGCAAGTACTGGGTAACATGTAGCGGGGTAATGCTAGAGAAGACTGGTACTATATAGCAGTATAATATAATACCGGATAAACGCTTTATCAAAAAGGCGTATTGAACTTGTTGTGGTAAAAAAAACGGCGATTCAATGAAGAAACTTAACGAATTTAATTGTAAGTCTTAAAAGTTATATTGTCTGAAGCTTTCACCGTTTTTAACAAAAAATATTCTTTTGTTTATGTTGTTTTGTATAACATTGGAAGCATTGCGAATTGAAATTTGTGTTTGCATGCATTAAAAGCTGAATATACTGACTGAATATTCTGATATTTTGTCCTCGATACGTTGCTTCCTCCATTTGTGCACACGTAATTTTCCCCTTTGACGATAAACGTAACAAAATACTTTCTTAGCTTCCTTTCAAAATCAAAGCAAAATGCAGGAGGAATTTACTACTTGAAAGCAAGAACATTTGGAATACCAAAAACACTAGAAAAAAAATGTTAGCGTTTTCCAAGAAAGAAAAGTAAAAAGCAAGCAATGCAACAACTGCTACTTCTTTTTTTTCTTACGGCAAGAGTGGTCATTCCACGGAATTCTCAAAGCGAACCTGCAAATATTTATTTACATTGCGCAAGCAATCACAATGTGTGGCAAAGACACAATGCTACTTCTATGGGCGCCTGTATTCAATTCTTCTTGAATTAGGCACATCTTAAATAGCAATTGGGCATGCAATATTTTCGCACAAAGATTAATTTATACGAATAAACTGCTATCTGGTACAAGGTACCTTCCACTCGATATTTGCTTTCCGATATCCGCTTTCCGATACCTGGTACCCGGTGCTTATGCTTTTGTTTTCCATCATACTAATCTTTTGCAAAGAGTGTCGAAACATCAGTTAAGGCTAGAACCAACAGTCTGCAACAACCTGAATTATCTACTAACGTCTACAAACATGTAATTGCATAACCTGGGTAAAAATTTGTAAATTTCAAATCATGAAAAATTGTGTGTTATAATGTTTCTTTTCATGTTCTTTATTTTTTCTTAATGCAGAAAAGAAAGAAAGACGACGTCGCAAAGGTCATGAACTTTACTTACGATAATGATTACTTTGTTTGTTTATGCCTGTTTACATTTTGCTGTGTTGAAAAGAAACTAATTTTAAGCGTGTTTTCTATTTCTATGCAGCCACATTTAAGAATAATAATTTCAAATATAACATGTCCTTTTTGCATTAAATATTAGTTTCTAATGTTGACATTTGGAAATTGACATATAAATGCTGAAAAATTTATTTAAAACATTGTTGTCTGTAATTAGCTCGGTTACAACAATAGGTTTATTTGTCTCTAAAAAGAAGTAAAAAGAGTCATTCACACATGACACTGATTGAAAATATACTGGTCTTGATTTTCACTCTTGAAATATCATTGAGTTTTCAAAGTAGATGTATACAACTGATATACAAATTGACAACTGATGTATGAATTGACGTTGTTTTGGGATGGATTTTTGTGGTTGTTAATTCCCGTTTGCTGTTATTATCAACTGTCTTGGAGCAAAGTCAATTCATTTAAAAGGCTCATCGTCTCTATTTAGTCATAATTTTAAACAATAAGATATTGAATTTGAAGTGTAATGCTTAAATGTGATAATAATGTGATTTTTTTATACATTGCAGATAGTAACGATGATGATGAAGGTTAGTTTATCATGTAGTATAATACTTACAAATGTTTATAAATAACGCATTAACGACAATAGTTTTTGTCGCCGTTTAGTTATTTATGTACCGAGAGATCTATTTAAGCATTTATCTTCTCCAGGTCTCTCAATTCTCAGGTTTTCTTTTGAAGATGGAATATTTGTTCTCTTTCAAGTTACTTAGCATTCCAATTCTTTTTCTTTCCTTCGGTTTGTTGCTATAAACTCTTTCCTCGGCCACTTATTTCAACACGTTATTACTGCGAAAGATGTGTCAATTCTACCTCTTTTTAATTCTATGGTATTTCTACCCAACATCTCTCTTTTTTCATCTACAACATCAACATCACCTCTATTGTTTTCCTTTCTATTCAGCCTACTCTCCATTCTTCCCGAGATTCACATCACAAGTGCCTCTATCTTTCTCATAACTATCGCTTGCTCTTCATGACTATGATCCAAAAACGATGCTACAAACAACAAACAACTGTTTTAATGATTCAATTTTTCTTTTTTTTACGTATACCTTTTGTGAGTAATTTTCTTTTGTTGAAAGCTGATTTTGCCATATCTCTTTTCATTTTTATCTCTTGTAATTATCTGTTATCAAGGAACCCAAATAACAAATATGTTTTACCTGCGTAATTCTTCATTCTAAACTATATCAAGATTGCCACAAAATTGTTTGGAAACTGTAGTAACTTCTGTCGTCTTTATATTTGTGCTCATACCATATTCTTCTGATACATCACCCAGTCTATCTAAGAATTCTGCATAATTTTTTTCGTCATAAATGGGTGTTATTATCCGTAAGAAACAATTAATTTCAAAAGAACTTGATCTTGCAAAACATGTATAATGAATATTATTATGTCATCATCGAGTTAGCTACGCCCCTTAAGAAAGCTGTGTATTGTATTATATTATCATTTGGTAATGTTTTTTTTTTGCATTGTTCCAGCTTCAAAAATAACAGAAACGTCTGTAGTTCAATTGAATGATAATCACGGTTTCGAAGACCGCGATGCAATGCCTTCATCAGGTAACAAAATTTTTATTTTTCAGAAAAATCATTCTTCATTGTCGTTCTGTTTCCTGCTTGTCTCTCAACTCATATTTACAATGTAAATTTTACATAAAAGTCTATAAGAGTGATCATTGAAGAAAAACAGGTACGCATTGCGTACATGTAACAGCCTTTCTTCAACACAATTCAAATGATTCGTAGTTGACGAACATAAAATGTATGAGACATTTATATAAGATTTATCAAAGTCTTTTTAAGAAGTGAAAGATTATAAGTTTACAACTTTAATATTAATTTTGTAAATAATTGTCAAATTCAACTTACGCCAGGTATTGAAAATCTCACACAGTGGGCTGGCCAAAAACACAAAATTGTGAATTATCAATAAATACCACCAATTTCTACAATGAAGTCTACTTCCCAGCTACTATGCATTGGTCATTCACAAACCTCCAGTGGCATATAACCAGCCAACAACTTTGTTGATGCTATGTAAATTTTAATGTGCTCACTCACTGTAAAACAATTACTTTTTCAAGAAATGAATAATAATAATGGTGTAAAACTTACATAGGATGAACAATTTTGTGGGCTAGCTACGCCACTGCAAGCCTATAATGTCTTTCTGTAAATTCATCTCCTCTTAATTTGACTCTTTCGTCAACACCATGCAATGCTTCTACCATCATCATCCTTTCATTATAAACAGAAAACAACCTCTGCTCATTCTCTTACTTCTTCAAAACCGCCACTTTGGCGTCAGAGTATGAAATGATTCTTGTAATACATGGGAATGCTGAATGCTGTCAGTTTATTTTTTTCAGAGTATCTGCAACTGGTATGCTCCTGTCGGTAAAACTTTCTTTGACAAAGGTTTAGAACTGCTTCTTTCCAACCTTTTTACGTTATTAGTGGTTTTGATAATATCATCACTCATTAATTTCTTAGTGTAAATACAATTGTAGCTAATCGCCTTCAATAAATGCACCTCCTAATAAGTCAAACGACGATATCATTTTTTAAAAGTGTCAAAATGTAAATCAGGATTTAAAAAACAACGGAGTAGCCAGCTCAATAATTTGGGGAGGAGAGCTTGTATTCATAAATGCGTGTTATCATCCGTAAGAAACAATTTTAAAAGAACTTGATCTTGCAAAACATGTATAATGAATATTATTATGTCATCATCGAGTTAGCTACGCCCCTTAAGAAAGCTGTGTATTGTATTATATTATCATTTGGTAATGTTTTTTTTTTGCATTGTTCCAGTTTCAAAAATAACAGAAACTTCTGTAGGTCAATTGAAGGATAACGAGAGTTTCGAAGACAGTGATGCAATGCCTTTATCAGGTAACAAAATTGTTATTTTTCAGAAAAATCATTCTTCAATGTCGTTCTGTTTCCTGCTCATCTCTCAGCTCATATTTACAATGTAAATTTTACATTAAAGTCTATAAGAGTGACCATTGAAGAAAAACAGGTACGCAATGCGTACATGTAACAGCCTTTCTTCAACACAATTCAAATGATTCATAGTTGACGAACATAAAATGTATGAGACATTTATATAAGATTTATAAAAGCCTCTTTATGAAATGAAAGATTATAATTTTACAACTATAATAATAATTTTGTAAATAATTGTCAAACACAACTTACGCCAGGTATTGAAAATCTCACACGGTGGGCTGGCCAAAAACACAAAATAGTGAATTCTCAAAAAGTACCACAAATTTATACAATGAATTCTTCATTGCTAGGGCATTTATACTCTAGCAAAAGATGGTTTCGGTAGTGTGACACCCTGTATAATTGTACTGCACAGAAATAAATATCACATATCATATAGCGTCTTTCAAGCTATTATTTACTTCATGGGATACAACAATATCATGACTTTTGCATGGCTTTATAGAAGTTTATCATAATTTAGCCATTCATATTCACGCACTTTTGTCGTCATACTAAGCATTGGAGCGTAAGTTTAAAATGTCATTATTCTAAGGCATAGCCTGAGTTCATGTAACCCATACAGTCTCTTTTTGCGTTCCTAAATATATGACCAAAACATGGATGTCTTTTAAAGTACAATTGTTAAAATTTTCAGCGACTAAAAATCAAACACCTCTCTTTAAGCTTTAGAATAAGTTTTAAAAAACCACTGATGATTGTTAGAAAAAAGTTAGCCACATCATGAGCATGACAAGCCAGTCTGTGATTATGTTTTATAGTTCGATTGAATTGCTTAGGTACTTTTTTAAAATGCATTTTCAAGCAGATAGTTTGCTGTGTTTCAATGTAATTATACTGGTTTTTTTATGTTTAGTTTGTCTTGCAATAGAAGAAGGTGCATTTTATTTCATTGTGAATCCACAGCGCTATCCGCAGCTATTGGTGCTAATTATTTTATGACTCCTGTCAACTTTGAAATCTAATTTATGTTTTAGTTTCCCATAATGATGTACTTGAAAAAGTAGACCAATCTTCATCTTCTAGTACAATGAGTAGTACGACTTGTGGATATTTATTAATGGAACTTGAAACTCTGTTCTTTTCATTAATGTTCTTGTCTTATTCTCTTCAGAGCAACATACAAAACGAGGGGGTGGTTTTCCAAATATCACGTCTTTAGAAAGTGATGACGAAAGTAAAATGAGAGGTAATGAAGTGAAAAAATATTGTGGAATAGCTCACCAAATATTACCTTAGTCTTGCTGCATGTGATGTTTTGTAATTATGTTATCATATAATTGCATTGTTACTGCATTTGAAGATGTTAACGTTGCCAAAAGTGCTGTGCCTTCTGAATCGGAAGCTGGTAAGTAACAGTCTTTTCTTTACTTCCTAACCTCATATTATCAACGTAAATTATACATGTAATTCTACATTCTACATACACAATTACTAGTTTCTTTACTGAATTTCTAAAATACAACATTACTACTAAATTTTTCACATTTTAAAAGGTGAGCTAAAACTTTTGCATAGCACTGTACTGCATATTTACATAAGATCGTTACACCTGAATATTTGCGTAAGATCGTTAAAAGGATGCAAAGCCGATGTGGGCAGCAAAAATTAAAATGCATGCCAAAAAATGTTCTTTATGAAAATGCTCTTTGTGACTTAGATAATGGTGTGAGTCGTTAAGAAAATCACAAGCGTTGTTTTCAAAATGTCAGCGTTTTGACAGATTGCTATTTTTATCCGAAACCTTCAGAATAAAAAATTCTTACTATTGAATGAATTATTTTATTGTGTTGTGCTCAGCAAATATCAATTATTCATTACATTGACGGCAAATAGATTATTTAATTTACACTCCTGAAACTGAAAACGATTGATGCGTTGGCGTTATATTTTGTATTTCCCTACCACTTGGTTTACTTAAGCAAATTTAAAATAATCTGTGTTTGCTCTTCCACAAGTCTCAGACTTTTTATCTAATGAAAAGAAATGCGCAATTGATCAATTAACTGCCACGTGTAAATTTAACATAACGTTGTTTTAAGATATATTTTTTTAATACTGCAATAAAAAAGAATCGACATCGTAAAGGTCGGTATAGTCATGCAAAAACTAGTAGTAGTAATGTTTATATGGTAGTTTATGTCTGCTTATGTTCAATGTATTTGAAAAGTGTTACTTTCAAACTCCAGTTTTTCTCTCTCAGCATGTTAACCCCTGCAAAATTCAAACAGTGGCTGTAGATTCTCCATGCGTGAAACGTAGTCGTATCATGAACATTAATGCCTAGCTTATTGCAATAATATAAATTGCCATTGTAGTCAGAAATATGAAAAGAGGAAATTTTATTGACGTTTCGTCACAGCGCTCGACATCTTTAGAATGGTAGCATAAGTGTGGTATAAGATTACAAAAAGGATATAAGTATTTACAATGTATGAATAAATTAAGTAGTAAAACAGGGATTAACCAATAACAGGAAGCCTTATACTCTTATATCATCATTCTAAAGATGTCGAGGGGCGTTCAACACACAGCCGGTTCTATACTTCTATTAGAAATAATGATGCGATGCAGAAATCCATGAACGCTTTCATTTCATGTATCATTTTTTATTATTATCAGATTTATTAGCATTTACACGAACATTTTCTTTTCACTTCATTCTCAATACCACTGCGGCAGAGTCAAGAATGCGGGTGTGATACCAGGTACCAAGTAGAAAGTACTGGGTAACATGTAGCGGGGTAATGCCAGAGAAGACTGGTACTATTTAGCAGTATAATATAATACCGGATAAACGCTTTATCAAAAAGGCGTATTGAACTTGTTGTGGTAAAAAAAACGGCGATTCAATGAAGAAACTTAACGAATTTAATTGTAAGTCTTAAAAGTTATATTGTCTGAAGCTTTCACCGTTTTTAACAAAAAATATTCTTTTGTTTATGTTGTTTTGTATAACATTGGAAGCATTGCGAATTGAAATTTGTGTTTGCATGCATAAAAAGCTGAATATACTGACTGAATATTCTGATATTTTGTCCTCGATACGTTGCTTCCTCCATTTGTGCACACGTAATTTTCCCCTTTGACGGTAAACACAACAAAATACTTTCTTAGCTTCCTTTCAAAATCAAAGCAAAATGCAGGAGGAATTTACTACTTGAAAGCAAGAACATTTGGAATACCGAAAACACTAGAAAAAAAATGTTAGCGTTTTCCAAGAAAGAAAAGTAAAAAGCAAGCAATGCAACAACTGCTACTTCTTTTTTTTCTTACGGCAAGAGTGGTCATTCCACGGAATTCTCAAAGCGAACCTGCAAGTATTTATTTTCATTGCGCAAGCAATCACAATGTGTGGCAAAGACACAATGCTATTTTTCGGGCGCCTGTATTCAATTCTTCTTGAATTAGGCACATCTTAAATAGCAATTGGGCATGCAATATTTTCGCACAAAGATTAATTTATACGAATAAACTGCTATCTGGTACAAGGTACCTTCCACTCGATATTTGCTTTCCGATATCTGCTTTCCGATACCTGGTACCCGGTGCTTATGCTTTTGTTTTCCATCATACCAATCTTTTGCAAAGAGTGTCGAAACATCAGCTAAGGCTAGAACCAACAGTCTGCAACAACCTGAATTATCTACTAACGTCTACAAACATGTAATTGCATAACCTGGGTAAAAATTTGTAAATTTCAAATCATGAAAAATTGTGTGTTATAATGTTTCTTTTCATGTTCTTTATTTCTTCATAATGCAGAAAAGAAAGAAAGACGACGTCACAAAAGTCATGAACTTTACTTACGATAATGATTACTCTGTTTGTTTATGTCCGTTTACATTTTACTGTATTGAAAAGAAACTAATGTTAAGCGTGTTTTCTGTTTCTATGCTGCCACATTTAAGAAGAATAATTTCAATTATAACATGTCCTCTTTGCACTAAATATTAGTTTTTAATGTTGACATTTGGAAATTGACATATAAAGGCTGGAAAATTTGTTTAAAACATTGTTGTCTGTGATTAGCTAGTTTATTCGTCCCTAACAAGAAGTAAAAAGAGTCATTCAACCACAGCACTGACTGAAAATATACTGGTCTTGATTTTCACTCTTGAAATATCATTGAGTTTTCAAAGTAGATGTATACAACTGATATACAAATTGACAGCTGATGTATGAATTGACGTTGTTTTGGGATGGATTTTTGTGGCTGTTAATTCCCGTTTTCTGTTATTATCAACTGTCTTGGAGCAAAGTCAATTCATTTAAGAGGCTTTTCGTCTCTATTTAGTCACAATTTTAAACAATAAGATATTGAATTTGAAGTGTAATGCTTAAATGTGATAATAATGTGATTTTTTTATACATTGCAGATAGTAACGATGATGATGAAGGTTAGTTTATCATGTAGTATAATACTTACAAATGTTTATAAATAACGCATTAACGACAATAGTTTTTGTCGCCGTTTAGTTATTTATGTACCGAGAGATCTATTTAAGCATTTATCTTCTCCAGGTCTCTCAATTCTCAGGTTTTATTTTCACGTTGGCATATTTGTTCTCTTTCAAGTTACTTAGCATTCCAATTCTTTTTCTTTCCTTCGGTTTGTTGCTATAAACTCTTTCCTCAGCCACTTATTTCAACACGTTATTACTGCGAAAGATGTGTCAATTCTACCTCTTTTTAATTCTATGGTATTTCTACCCAACATCTCTCTTTTTCATCTACAACATCAACATCACCTCTATTGTTTTCCTTTCTATTCAGCCTACTCTCCATTCTTCCGAGATTCACATCACAAGTGCCTCTATCTTTCTCATAACTATCGCTTGCTCTTCATGACTATGATCCAAAAACGATGCTACAAACAACAAACAACTGTTTTAATGATTCAATTTTTCTTTTTTTTACGTATACCTTTTGTGAGTAATTTTCTTTTGTTGAAAGCTGATTTTGCCATATCTCTTTTCATTTTTATCTCTTGTAATTATCTGTTATCAAGGAACCCAAATAACAAATATGTTTTACCTGCGTAATTCTTCATTCAAAACTATATCAAGATTGCCACCAAATTGTTTGGAAACTGCAGTAACTTCTGTCGTCTTTATATTTGTGCTCATACCTTATTCTTCTTATACATCACCCAGTCTATCTAAGATATTCTGCATAATTTTTTTCTTCATAAATGCGTGTTATTATCCGTAAGAAACAATTAATTTCAAAAGAACTTGATCTTGCAAAACATGTATAATGAATATTTGCACAAATATCTTTTTATTCCCTTTAAAAGTCAACTACGAACAATTAAGAGTCGTTTATGTCATGCGTATCATTCATACGTTTGTAAAGGGTCAGATAAGAGTGTTTTAGAATTTGGCATCATACTGTAATGTTATTTGATTGCATTGCAAGAAATTAATTTGATTTATCTATTAGATGATAATAATAGTGAAGACATGATTGGTGTTTCGCCTTCCACATCAAAACATGGTAAGCAAAAGAATTTTGTTACCAAACATTTTCCCAAACATTTCCATGTTTAGCAACGCTAAATACAAACAATAATTTATAGCCTAATAAATTAATTTTAAAAGGTATCGTTATATGTAGCCAACAAACTTTGTTATCATAGAAATTTAATCAATATGTATAGAAAGTGAAAACTGGCTATGATGCTAAAAGTGAAATGTGAAAACCATCATGATCAACGTGTCAGTTGCATGTATACGTTACACGTACACAAATGAACTTAAATAGAATATTGTTGAAAACATCCTTTTAAAACATATTATTTCATTATTGATAGCCAATAGAAGCCAATAATTATGTTTACGAATACATAGTTTCATTTCGCGTTTAGGTAGTAGCTAGATGCCATGATGCTGGATCTAAGTTATCCGTTTCCTTTAATTTTTTTGTGAAAGATAACTGTTTCAAGAGATATTTATGATGTGTTATGAAAAAGTAAATTTATTAGTTTTACGGAAAAACTTGCAATAAAACCCACGTTGTCATTTTTCCACCCAAAAGATTAGAAACCACAAAGTAAGGTAGTTCAACTCACTAGTTCAACTCTCTCTTTGCAAACACACGGTATTAGCATAACCATGCATGTAATATTTGCAAGACCGAATAACATACAATAAGTAGTTACGTAAATGCAAATTCTAAATAAATTATGAGTCGCTGAAAGGTTTAAGAAGGAGTGTGCTACGTCCTGGAACCAGCTTTATTGTGTCTTTATTGGATCAAATATCCCAAAATTTTAGTCGGACCGACATTTTTCGTCTTTTTCCGTTTCTGGACCGACTTTTTATTCATATTTTACAAAAGCTGGTGATATAGTGTAACATGTGATATACACTTTTATTTTCTTTATCATGTGTTTAGATGAAGATGATAATTTGGATGAACACTTTTGGATGAACACAAGCTTTTTAGAAGGTAACCTTAAAAACATTAGGTTCTTTAATTCTCCGAACTCTTTTCACCTCGACAGATGCTTTCATCTTTGATTTTTCAATCTCAATGTTTCCGCATTTAAAGGAAACTGTCCTGTATATTTACATAAGATCGTTACACTAGAATATTTGCATAAGATCGTTAAATGTATGCAAAGCCGATGTGGGCAGCAAAAAACTAAAATGCATGCCAAAAAAGGTTTTTTATGAAAATGCTCTTTGTGACTTAGATTTTGGTTTGAGTCGTTTAAAAACTAACAAGCGTTGTTTTTAAAATGTCAGCGTTTTGACAGATTGCTATTTTTAACTACTTCCGATATAATGGTGCAAAAAAATAAATTTTAAAAGATTTACCCATTCCTATCATGTTGCCATTTTACGACGGTGAGATACTCGACTGGGAATCGAATGCAAAACATAAATATAAACTTTGTGCTAGGGATTAATGATGGTTGTCTTAATGCAGAAAAGAGTGTGGAAGAAGGATACCTTTGTGAATGATTTTTTATATATCCATGTTTATAAACCTGCAACATTCTTAATAAATCAAAGCGTTCTCAACTTTCACTGTGTTGCAACTAAAATCATTTTTTGCTCTTGCGCTTGCACACGACGATAATAAAACTGCTGTTTTCAAAATTGATTGTACAAACTATATGCTTGTCTACAATAACCTTAAAAATATAATGATAGCTACATATAAAAATACTTTCATTTGTTTCCACATATTACATCATTACTCATGTGACAACCAATATCTTGAGCCATGGTTATTTTCCTTGTAATGAATACAGAAAAAAACATGTTCTTGTTGAAGAGAAAAATCAATCCAAAATACTTTTTATAATGGAAAATTGTAATTTGTGGGTCTGTAATTTTTATATTTTCTTATATTTGTAATCGGTGTGGTATTATGTTGCGACCAAATCTTAAAAGAAGCCCATACATTAACGTTGTTCACAGTTCATGATAAAGAGCCCATTAAATTGTTTTGTTGTGTTATAAATGAAACAAAAAATGCTCTAGTTGCTTGTCACTATAACTATACAATATTTTAATATTATTTTATTATTTATTTTTCATAATGCAGAAGAGGGAAAACAACGTTTGGAAGGTTGGTATAACGAATTATTTTCAGTTTCGTAAATGATTATGATTAATTTTTTTACTGCTCTCAATATCTTGAGTTGGAAAATGCTCTGTAAATTTTTAATGACTATTAATTAGGAATGAAAAATTCTTTTCATTGCATACATAAAAATGTCCGTATCTGAACGTAAAGTGCAGCATGTCGTAAGAAACCATCTTAACTATTTCTTATTGTTCCCAGTTAAAACAAAGTCAGTTATTGAAGGGATCATTGCTTTGTAAACATTTGTAGAGATCATTGAGTAAATTCAATTTATTTTAAGAGGATTTTTGGTCATGACATTCAGATACTAAGTTTCATGTTTTATGTTAATGTGAAAAGGATGTGTGTTTTATCCTTTAAAGAATTGCTCAATCTAATGTAGCAGATCTAGCGTATCTTTAGTATACCTTGTTTATAGAATTTACATTGGTTAGTATGACTGTGCACAGCTATATACTACATATGAAAGATTATATATAATACATAAATGATGGGTAGTTTAACAAGTAAGAAGTTAATTTTTTTCCTTAACAAAGTAAGGTTCAATAAATATTTAGGTAAACAACATTCTTTTTGAAAAATTAAATATTATTTTCATTACAAATTATTTTACAATAGTGCAACTGGAATACAATATGATGGTGTATGAAATGAATTTTTTGTATCTTTCCCAGTTTTCTTTGAAAGGTTTTGTCCAACAATTGTTCATAGAATGAGTAAATATGTACTCAACATAAAATCTTTGATTCTAATTTATATTACTCTGCTAAATATCGTTTAATCGTTTCAAAACTAGGTTCCAATAATTTTCAAGAGCCAACATTAAAAGAATCTGAAACTGATCCATCGATGAAAAAAGATAACGGTATTTATGCAGATTTTTGTTAATTAAGATATCATGGTACGGTAGAAAACGGGAAACTTAGAGAAAAGATTGAATTCTGATTAGCTTGGATCATGTAAACAGCTCTTAAGTATTGAAATTTTGCAATTTTAACTTTGTGATAACCTTCTGATATTTTGTTTTTATTAAATTGGAGAAATATCAATTAATTTTAGGAAGCTTTTTATGTCTATATAGTCTCAGTTTTTGAACAATATAGTTAAAACAGTCAACTTGACGTGTCTTATGCAATTGCAAAAATAATTTTTATTTTTCTTTACTTGCAGAAATTAAGCGACTTAGCGAAGGTTAGTATGGTCAAAACAGACACTTACGGTGTTTGCACAGGCTGGCTTTACTCAAATGTAATCTTTATTGCCTTTTGAAATGTTAAGTACAAACAAGAATGCAATGTAACCATTGCGATTCGTTTATAACTTCTTTATTCACATACTTTTGTTAACGGTCAAAAATATGAGATGTAATGAAGAGTGAAATAACTCAGCAAGTATTCCTTTTATCTTGCTATGATATATTAACCGTGTAATGTAATGCATTAATTTCCAGCTTCTTACGAAAAGATATCTTTGCCATTTCCCATGAGTGCCAACGACTATGACGACATTGACAAAACTCCTTCTACAGCAGTAATTGGTAAGAAATTGTATTTTGTTAGCAAACATTTGCACAAGCATCTTACCTTCCCTTTAAAATCTAACACAAACATAAGAGCCGTTTATATCATGCGTATCATTCATACGTTTGTAAAGGGTCAGATAAGAGAGTTTTAGAAATTTTTCATCATACTGTAATGTTATTTAATTGCATTGCAAGAAATTAGTTTGATTTATCTATTAGATGATGATAACAGTGAAGTCATTATTGGTGTTTCGCCTTCCACATCAAAACCTGGTAATCAAAAGAATTTTGTTAGCCAACATTTGCCCAAACATTTCCATGTTAAATACAAACAATAATTTATAGCCTAATAAATTAATTTTAAAAGGTATCGTTATATGTAGCCAACAAACTTTGTTATCATAGAAATTTGATCAATATGTATAGAAAGTGAAAACTGGCTATGATGCTAAAAGTGAATTGTGAAAACCATCATGATCAACGTGTTAGTTGCATGTATACGTTACACGTACACAAATGAACTTAAATAGAATATTGTTGAAAACATCCTTTTAAAACATATTATTTGATTATTGATAGGCAATAAAAGCCAATAATTATGTTAACGAATACATAGTTTCATTTAGCGTTTAGGTAGTAGCTAGATGGCTTGATTTTGGATCTAAGTTATCCGTTTCCTTTAATTCTTTTGTGAAAGATAACTGTTTCAAGAGATATTAATGATGTGTTACGAAAAAGTAAATTTATTTGTTTTACGGAAAAACTTGCAATAAAACCCACGTTATCATTTTTCCACCCAAAAGATTAGAAACCACAAAATAAGGTTATTCAACTCACTGGTTAAACTCCCTCTTTGCAAACACACGGTATTAGCATAACCATGCATGTAATATTTGCAAGACCGAATAACATACAATAAATGGTTACGTAAATGCAAATTCTAAATAAATTATGGCTCGCTGAAAGGTTTAAGAAGGAGTGTGCTACGTACTGGGACCAGCTTTATTGTGACTTTATTGGATCAAATATCCCAAAATTTTAGTCAGACCGACATTTTTCGTCTTTTTTTTTGTTTGTGGACCTACTTTTTATTCATATTTTACAAAAGCTGGGTAGTGTAACATGTGATATACACTTTTGTTTTCTTTATCATGTGTTTAGATGCAGATGATAATTTGGATGAACACTTTTGGATGAGCACAAGCTTTTTAGAAGGTAACCTTAAAAACATTAGGTTCTTTAATTTTCCGAACTCTTTTCACCTCGACAGATGCATTCATCTTTGATTTTTCAATCTCAATGTTTCCGCATTTAAAGGGAACTTTACTGCATTTTTACATAAGATCGTTACACTAGAATATTTGCATAAGATCGTTAAATATATGCAAAGCCGATTTGGGCTGCAAAAAACTAAAATGCATGCCAAAAAAGGTTTTTTATGAAATGCTCTTTGTGACTTAGATATTGGTTTGAGTCGTTTAAAAAATAACAAGCGCTGTTTTTAAAATGTCAGCGTTTTGACAGATTGCTATTTTTAACTACTTCCGTTATAATGGTGCAAAAAATAAATTTTAAAAGATTTACTCATTCCAATCATGTTGCCATTTTACGACGGTGAGATACTCGACTGGGAATCGAATGCAAAACATAAATATAAACTTTGTGCTAGGGCTTAATGCAGAAAAGAGTGTGGAAGAAAGATACCTTTGTGAAGGTTTCGTTATATATCCGTGTTTATAAACCTGCAACATTCTTAATAAATCAAAGCGTTCTCAACTTTCCCTGTGTTGCAACTAAAATAATTTTTTGCTATTGCGCTTGCACACGACGATAATAAAATTGCTGTTTTCCAAATTGATTGTACAAACTATATGCTTGTCTACAATAACCTTAAAAATATAATGAGAGCTATATATAAAAATACTTTCATTTGTTTCCACATATTACATCATTACTCATGTGACGACCAATATCTTGAGCCATGGTTATTTTCCTTGTAATGAATACAGAAACAAACATGTTCTTGTTGAAGAGAAAAATCAATCAAAAATACTTTTTATAATGGAAAATTAAAATTTGTGGGTCATATGGTATTATGTTGCGACCTAATCTTAAAAGAAGCCCATACATTAACGTTGTTCACAGTTCATAATAAAGAGCCCATTAAATTGTTTTCTTTTGTTATAAATGAAACAAAAAATGCTCTAGTTGCTTGTCACTATAACAATATATTATTTTAATATTATTTTATTATTTATTTTTCATAATGCAGAAGAGGGAAAACAACGTTTGGAAGGTTGGTATAACGAATTATTTTCAGTTTCGTAAAGCATTATGATTAATTTTTTTTTACTACTCTCAATTGCTCGAGTTGGAAAATGCTGTGTAAATTTTTTCAATTCTCAGAATTTTTTAATGACTATTAATTAAGAATGAAAAATCTTTTCATTGCATGCATGAAAATGTCCGTGTCTGAACATAAAGTGCAGCATGTCGTAAGCAACCATTTTAACTATTTCTTATTGTTCCCAGTTAAAATAAAGTCAGTTATTGAAAGGATCATTGCTTTGTAAACATTTGTAGAGGTCATTGAGTAAATTCAATTTATTTTAAGAGGATCATAACTTCGGTCATAACTTTTCAACATTCAGATACTAAATTTCATATTTTATGCTTATATGAAAAGGATGTGCATTTTATCCATTGCAGAGTTGCTCAATCTAGTATAGCAGATCTAGCGTTTGTCAAAATGAATTATAGATGCTCAATTTTAAATTCAAAATATGTTTGAACCAAAACTATTGGATTTAAATTTCAAAAAATTAAACTTTACCAATGGACTTGCCTCTATGTATTTGGAAATGGAAATATATCCAAGCATGAGCTGCAGCAATTTATTTTGACGTACCCTAGATCCGCCACTGGCTTTATTGAGTTAAAGGTTGGTATGGTCATGCAATGAACTAATCGTGGAACGTGAATTGTATGATGACCAACTTATTTCTACCGGAGTAAATGTTATTTCCATATCAAAATAAAAACATCCGTGTTTTCTCATCCAGAGAAAACCACAGCAATGTTATATGTTATGTGATATTGCCAAAACAAATAAAACAATGAATTGATGACTTTATCAGTCCTTTTTTAATTTTTCCTGATTTGTACTTCTTCTTTAAGTTCAAGAATTGTTGCGTCAACCATGGAAATGTTTTGATAAATCAATAATACATCAGAAGAAGTTTAAAAAGATGGAGAAATATGGACGCAAACATCCAGAAAAAGTTACACTGCTCAGTGAATTGCGTGTAATTTTCATGAAGGAGTTTTTGCTTGGCAAGGGAAGTGATGGAACCCGTGTTTACCTTGCCCTGGGAAATAATGGTTATGGAAAAGCAGTAAAGCGAATACACAAAGATAGTGGCAAAGACTATGCAAATCGAGAAAAAGAAATTTTGATTGAGTTGAATGCAAAGCGTTCAAATCATGTTGTGAACTTTTGCCATTTAGAAGAGAACCTTGACGAAGAGTATTTGTACATGATATTAGATTTGTGTGAAGAATCGTTAGAGAGTTATGTGAAATCTTCTTCTTTGCAAGATCTTCAAAAAGTCGTTCCTACAATTCTTATGCAGATTTTAAAAGGTTTAGCTGATCTTCACAGCGGTGAGCGTCCTATTCTTCATCGGGATTTAAGACCATCAAACGTTCTTCGAGATGTGGATGGAAATTTTTTAATCGCTGACTTTGGTATAAGTCATATGTTATCTAATGAAACTTCGACACATCGGAGCATACAAAGAGGAGCTAAAAATTGGATATCTCCAGAGTCATATGACGCATCAGATGCATCAATTAATAAAGTTCGTTACAAAAAAGAGTCTGACATTATGGTAAGTTCTTGAAGTGTAACTAGAGGTCTAACTACAGCTCAATGTTTTATTTGCATTGAATTAAATATTGCTATTTTGTAGTGATAATTATTTAAATAAAAATAAATTAATTTTGTTAATCGTGCTACAGTTACAATTGTATGTTCCTTATTTAGATTGCTTTTAATATATATATATGGCTCCAATTCTATTTAGAGAACATTTTTTAGATTTTTTTAAGCTTCACATTAATTGTTGAGTTCTGCAAATCGCAAATAAATTTAATCTCGAAGGTTTTAGTATCCACCACTGACTGCTTATGACAATTTTTTATTGAAAATAGAATGCAGGAATGGTGGCTTATTATGTTGCAACAAAGGGAAAACATCCTTTTGGACATGAACGGCATAGATTGGACAACATTTTGAGAGGAAACCCAGTTGGATTGGGCGAAATCAAGGATGCCACGTTCAAAAACCTTTTATCGTGGATGCTACAGTTAAAACCTGAAGACAGGCCATCTGCCGATAAGGCGTTAAAGCACCCTTATCTACAACCAGACGAAGAGAAATTTAACATGCTATGTGATATGGGGAACCAACTGGAGGTGAAACATTCACGAGGTCAAAATTCTCCCACTTCAGACGTTTATACGCAGTTGTATGACTCCATAGAATGGATGAAGCGTATCGACTATAAAGTCGTCAAAGATTTGATCAACTTTGAGGTAAACGATAGTATAAGAACTCTAAAGTACGAGTCTACATGGGCAGGATGCTTAAAATTCATACGAAACGTCGACCAACATTGGCAAGATAAGCGTCGTCCGCATCTATCACAATATGTGAAGCAAGGCAATTATAAAAAGTATTTCTTGCAACGTTTTCCTGAACTTCCTCTTCTGGTGTACAAAGTCAATAGGACATTGGAAAACGAAATCTGATCACAAGAATAATCAAGAACATCGTGCATTTGTTCAGGATTTGTTTATACTATCTACTCATAAGTTTTATTGTCTCGCTTTTAAATTTAATGACTTTTCATTTAGGCATTTTCTCACTCGATACTGAAGCAAATGGATATGATTACTTAAACTATTTATAATGGGACATAAAATATTACTAAGTCAAATGTGTAGTCACGTAGGGGCAACGTATCCCTCGCAATACATGGCATTCATCTTGTTAGATGAATTAAAATTGTATGTTCGTCATTCGTATTTTGTTAAATATATGCAGGGCTGCGACTCAAAATTATTTAGATTTTTGAGCGTTGGAGATTTACCTCATCGCAGAATACAGAGATAAGTTAACAATTGGATAACTCCAGTCATATGATCTATCCAGCATCCAATCATCAATGTATCTTGTTACAAGAAACAGTCTGATGTTATGATAAGTATTTGTTGTGGACATTTAAATGTAGTTGAATTCTGCAAATAACAAATAAAGTCAATTTTTGACGTTTCAGTATCCACCGCCACTAACCTTGTAACTGTTATGATGTTTTTTTTATTGATTTTAGAATGTAGGAATAGTAGCGTTTTATGTTGAAACAAATAGAAAACATCGTTTCGGACCCGAGCGGTTTTATTTTTTCGTAAATGTTTTCAGTATGAAAGCTAGTTGATATTGGCAAATAGTCGAAGTCAATTATTTAAGTAACATTTTATGCAATGAAATTTGTCAAATTTATTCAATGAAATACAGATGATGTTTCACTTCACTCCAAAGATTTGAGAAATTTTTGACAGATCTTCCTTTTCCCTTTTGCTTTTGATTATTGAATATATCCAAGCTGTTTGTACACCTGCCACATTTCAACATCATGTCGAAATGCTTTATTGATAATTCTCCGCTTTCTTTGTAAACGGAAAACACCCATAGATTTGCCATGTTCGATTCTACAATAGGAAGATTTTTCGTTCGCAAGCCTGTTATGGTCATTCTCAGTCCTACTCGTGTTACAGTTCATTACCGTTCGCATCAAATTAACTCGAGAGCTATTTAAGATATCGGCAAAATATACGCATAGACCGCAGTCCTGTGTTTTTCTACTGTAGAAGCCCAGCCGGGCATTTCTACGAAGTTGACCGACATTTCTTGCTACTTGGAGTGGACTTGGATGAAATCATAGATGCCACACTAAAACCAGAAGACAAGCCATCTGCAGACGAAGAATGTTATGTATAAAGTTGGAAAACAACGATCGATTAAAACAAATATCTGTGTTAGATAAAATGCAAAATGAGTAAAGTTTGAGCGCTTTCCGGCACCCGTGTCATAATTACCAGATATTCAACATGATGAATAATTTCGGTCAGGAATAAATGTTTCCTCCAAATGTGCGCGCATGAAAATCTATCGCCTCAGCAAATGTAACATTTATGCATGCTCTGTCTACGGTAATATTTGCTATTCAAAGCAAAATGGCTGCTGCTTATGGTATGTTTGATTCGTCGTCAGGTGTAGAAGACAAAGAAATGTTGCTTTTGCCATTTTTACTGCGGCTACGGCAAAGGCATTTGAGACAGGGATGGATTAAAGAAGGTTTTTTTGAAAAATTTTTTTTCTTTATTCTTTAATTCAATTAAAGACAATTAAAGACAATTAAAGAAAACTTTTCGAGAAAACCATTAAAACTTTAACAAAATTTCAAACAAATTGTCAAAAAGGAAATAATTATTCCTGAGCTAAATATTCAATAGTGCTAAAATGCAAATATGAAATATAAAGTTTTTACTTTGTTGTGCCACCAGCTTGAGACTTTAACGAGTCACTAGGCTCTGTATTCTCATCAAGACAACCTCATATTACATAGTGAATGCACAAGGGAACCACGGAGAAAATACGCTATTATTTAATATTTTAATGTGACATTGGATAAACACTATTTCAGACGTAAGAGCATAAATAAGAAACATTAAAGACAATTTTTAGTTTTGATTCAAATCTTCTTTAATCATTAAAGAAGATTAAAGAAAAAATGATTAAAGAATAAATGCCATCCCTGGTTTGAGAGCAGCTAAATCAACTACATGGACAAAGCGTGGAATTTCTGGACGGCCTACACAGGGAGCTACAAATATTATCCGTGAGCTGGATGCTGAAGATGCTGAGCAGTTTCGGAAGTATCGTAGATTGGATAAAACCGCTTTCGATAAATGAATTTGGTCTTCTAACATTATATCAGCTATCATGTTTGTGCCGCCATCTTCGTCCAAAGTATAAAATGAGTTACTTTGCGCATGCGTAAAGTTACATTTGCTGAGGCGATAGCTTTTGATGCGCGCTCACTTGGAGGAAACATTCATTCGTGACCAACATTATTCAACATGTTGAATATATGACAAATATGACACGCGTGCCGGAAAGCGCTCAAAAATGAGGTCCTTCACGGCAACGTTCTGTCTTAAAGAGGCATTTGGCAACCGGACTATAATTAGAATTTAAATTTAATTGAGTTAATTTAACACGCACAATAAAACATGCGAGTAAACAGCCATTTTCATGTCAAGAACGCTGGTCAAAGACAATCATTAATCATCCAAATGCCACAATGGCTACTAAATTTTACATTGTCTGCATGAACAAAAACTGGTAGTAACTGTAACGTACGGAGCAAAGCCAATAGCAAGCTGCTGTAGACCCAATTTGACTTTATATTTTCTTTACAACCCGCCTACAATAATTCACTAATTTTCTTATTTACACTTCTTTATTGACATTCCTTTAAGTAAATTCTGTTAGTATACGTCTTTTTATGTACATGCACTACTCGTGTTATGGACGGTAAGACTTGTATATTATTTATTGGCACAGGATCATGCACGTAGCCAGAACAATAATTGGGGGGAGGGCATATTCATAAACATCAATTTTATAATCCGTAAAAACAAATTTTATCTTTACGATAGAAAACATGCTCAATTGCATGCGCATATAAAATTTAAATAAAACATTTCCAAATTCAATATTCACAAATTTTATTTTCACTCCACCCACCCCCTCCCTAAGGGAAAGTATAGTTTTTTCCAGCTGTGATCTTTGGAAATGCTTCCATTGTTAAAAGATTATTTACATACGCGATGCAAAACAAGTCATACGTATTATTTTGATAGTTGCTTCTCATCAGACGAAGCAAAAACGTTTAAGAAGTGGAACAAGCACTGAAATTATTGTAAGTTTTATTTGTATCGTATTCTCTTTATGATTTAACACTGGTACGCTTTGCAATAAAAATTTGCGAATTCTTTCAGTATATGTAATGACAATGTTCAAATTCCATTGCGTCAGACGTTTGACTTAAAGGCCACAAGTTTGAATTTATATGTAGTTTTAGTCTCTTTTTATTGCTCCATGTCTAAGATTATATTTTTAAAAGTATAGATTTTTACAAATAGCGGAAAAATTAGAAAAAATTAGTCAGACAGCAAGTACTAAAAAATTCCATAACATTGGGCTGGGATGTTGGATTGTTACTCACTAATATATCGTTATTCTTTTAAAATAGCGTTACAACAAGACTATTTTAAAGTTCTTATTATTTGGGCAACTTTGTTAGCGTGTATATTAAATATTTATTTTGTTCATGAGTCATAAGTCAAGAGGTTTGAACTACGTAGGCAGGAATAGACACGTAAGCAAATTTTTCAATAAAAAATAAAATTCATAGGAAGATTGTTGTTGACATTGTTTAAACTATTTTTATCATCTTATCATTTAGATCTTGACAATTTCCGTTGGTACTTCATGATGATTTGGTTGGAAACTGGTAATCGCTAGAAAACTCTGTAAAACTGAAATTACATGGATTACTATGCAGCATTTCAATAAATACGATATTCAAGTTTATCGTTTGCATTTTTTCGTCTGTTTAATGTTTCAGAGGGAAAAAACTGTAAATGTTATGTACATCATAACTGAAATAAATCTTACTGAAAGATTGCCGATAAAAATTTCGTATAACTTATCTTTGAAAAGTGAAAATATTCATAGTTACCGGTTCATTAAATGCACCATGCTAAGTAGATTGCAATGCAGCTTTCAAAAGCTTACCCTGTCTTTAATTTGCTGAAATTTAATCGTTATTGCTAATACCTGTATCTAACATCTTAAGTTTTATTTTTTAGAAATTATTATTTTCCTATCCAAGTAAAAACAAGTTGCTTTTCTTTCTGTCATAATGATGATTAAATGTCCAAGCGCTTTGATAAGAAGTTTTTTTGGAAATTTGTCTTGTTTTTTATAAAATGAAAGCAAAAACAGGATTTTAATAAAATGAAAGCAAAAACATAACAATAAAATTGTCAAAGCCAAAAAGATCGAGATACACTAAATTTAATTAATTTTATGATGCTTCGTTTTTGGTCAAAAATTATTTTATATACTCTTTCAATGTAAGATGTCTTCATTTTGACATGTTTAAAGCATGTTCAAAAATACTTTTGTATTTCTTAGCTACCACGTTTGATCATGAGCAGCGCTGACTACATCGTACAGTACAAAATTCTTGTATATGCATTCCACACACATCTTTTAGAAGTTCATTTCACTGACTTCCGCACACGCAGTTCAACCAATAATTTAATAGAACTACCTCAAGTTTTTTTCTTGAATTTATGTATGGCACTTTTCATTAATGAGATTGTTTCTTCCTGAATTAAAGACTGAACATTTCCATAAAGCTATTTGCATCATTAAAGACAGAAGTAATGTTTAATATTTCAATTTGTATATTTTAATGAGCCATGTATACATTAAACACGTGGTCAATATAACGACTGTTTCATGATGTAGCTTTTATTGAATCGCATACAAGTATCGTACCGTCTTTGATTAGTAAATTTTTTTTGGTACGGATTTTTTAGTTCTAACATTTTTGCCATTCAAATGGATCCAAGCCACAATTTCTTAGAAAGTCTGGTCAAAAACTCAGGCATTTCAGAAGGTAACCTTAAAAACATTAGGTTCTTTAATTCTCCGAACTCTTTTCACTACGACAGATGCTTTCATCTTTGATTTTTCAATCTCAATGTTTTGGCATTTAAAAGAAAAGATACTGACATTAACTTTTCCATTCACAAGAATTGAAAATTATTTAGCAGTGGAAAAATCAAAAAGATAGCTGACGCAATTTCTAAAGTTAACGAGAGTAAATTAAGTGTGAAAACAAGGTGTTGATAACTTTTATGAGGAACATTCAGTCTAAACGTCCCTCAACGTACTTTGAACTAAATATCTCTCATTCGTGTGTTTGGAAGCAGGGAAATACGCTATTAATACAAATAAACTGAAACAAAGCCAAACATGTTGTTATGTTATTATGTTATTATTTAGTAGCTAAATTTAAAAGTTTGTTCACCTTAACTGGCAAAGCGGTGTAGGTGTTTCAAATCTTGTCTAATAGCCACATTTTTTTGATGTGCGTATAATTAGAAAATTAAATTGCTTCTTGATACATTGATTTATTCCTTTCTAAATAGTCTACTTTACTTTTTAATTGAAGAATTGCTTTCTCAACCATGGAAATGTTATGATAAATCAATAATGCATCAGCCAAAGTTCAGAATGATGGAGAAATATGGGAAGGAAAATCCAGGAAAAGTCAAACTTGAAAATGGTGTAAAGGTTATTTGTTCTGAAGAGTTTTTGCTTGGTAAAGGAAGTGATGGAACTCGTGTTTACCTTGGACTCGGAAAAGATGGTTACGGAAAAGCAGTAAAACGATTGCTTCGAGATAACTGCGTGGAGTTAGCCAAACGAGAAAAAGAAATTTTGAATGAGTTGAATGCAAAGCGTTCAAATTATGTTGTGAATTATTGGTATCTTGAAGAAGAACCAGGCACAGATTACTTGTATTTGATATTAGATTTGTGTGAAGAATCGTTAGAGAGTTATGTGAAATCTTCTTCTTTGCAAGATCTTCAAAAAGTCGTTCCTAAAGTTCTTATTCAGACCTTAAATGGTCTAGTTCACCTTCACAGTGGTTCGTGTCCTATTCTTCATCGGGATTTAAGACCATCAAACGTTCTTCTAGATGTGGATGGAAATTTTTTCATCGCTGACTTTGGTATAAGTCGAAAATTATTAAATGAATCTTCGACACATCGGAGCATACAAAGGGGAGCAAAAAATTGGATAGCTCCAGAGTCATATAACGCATCAGATGATACAATTAATAAAGTTCGTTACAAAAAAGAGTCTGACATTATGGTAAGTTCTTGAAGTAGAAATAGAGGTCCAACTACAGGTCAATGTTATTTTTGCATTTGAATGTTGTATTTGGTAGGGATATCATTATCACTGCCACTGATATCATTATCACTTTTAAATATAATTTTTGTTTACCTCTATTGTACAGTCATATAGTGGCGAAATACAAATTGTACTTATAAAATATAAAAATATGTATATGTATGATAATGAATTGCTGTTATTGCCTTATTGGTTTTACGATTGTATGTCTCTCATTTAGATTGGCTACGACTCTTAATTGGAGAACATTTTGCTGATTTTTTTTGAACTGAACTTGTATTTTTTGCAACTAACAAATGAATTAGCTCCATTTTTTATTGAAAATAGAATGCCGGAATGGTGGCTTATTATTTTGCAACAAAGGGAAAACATCCTTTTGGCATTGAACGGCATAGACTGGACAACATTTTGAAAGGAAACCCAGTTGGCTTGGACGAAATCAAGGATGCCACGTTCAAAGACCTTTTATCGTGGATGCTACAGCTAGAACCGGAAGACAGACCATTGGCCAACGAAGCGTTAAAACACCCTTATCTACAAACCGATAAGGAGAATTTCGCTTTTCTGTGTGATGTTGGGAATGAACCAGAAATAAAGACATCATCTCCACATTCTCTTCCCTCAAATATTCGTGAGCAGTTAAATCTTTCAATAGTTTGGATGGACCGTATCGATCCTGAATTCTTTAATCATTTCAATAAAGTATCCGACTCTACATGGTTAGGTTGCCTAAGATTTTTACGAAACGTTCGCCAGCATTGGCGTGATAAACCTCGTCCACAACTGTCATCATGTGTTAAAGATGGAAACTATCAAGAGTATTTTCTTCAACTTTTTGAGGAGCTGCCTTATCTAGTTCACAGAGCCATAAGATTGAGTGATTGGAAGGCAAGACCTGATCTAGAGAAACATTTTCCAAGTAAGACACAGAAATGAGTTTTCATTTTTGATGGCCAAGCTATAAATTAGGGGTCCATGACGCTATATTTGTTATTTTCACTCTAGTTCTCTTCTTCATTTACTGTACTTAATGCATGTATGTTTTTAATTCTGTATATTGCGGTTGCAAACATTTGTTAGACAGTGAACATCCTGTAAAACTTGAAGAAGGCAGGGGAAAGAAAAGCGAAGGTGTTATTGACAACGCTGATCTTAACGGTAAATAGCTATGTAACAACAAACTAATGCTGTGTACGTATCACTTTTCTCAAATATTCTACCAAAAATCGTAATCTCTTCACTTGTATCTGGTGCGTGTTCTAAAAGGATAAAATCTAAAACATTAATTTTTGAGCCTCGTTTCCATGTCGCTCAGATTTTCAATCCAAATGCCTCAAATAAAACGTAATTTACACGATGTTGCCGTGCTAGGATTTTGTGGGACTTTCGATATGTTGTAAAGGGATATCAAATATACCAAAATCAGTTGAAATTTCTTTTGTGGAAATTTGTTCAAGCTTAGAGTGTTTTTGGTCGTAGATTGACTGGACTATACGACATCCAACAATTGAACGATTGAAGTGTTGGCATTATAAAAGAAATGCCAAAAAAGAATCGTCACAGAATATGGAACTAACGATATCCATATTCTGTGATATCGTGTTTGTTTTAGAAAAATTATTTATAATTTACTATAGACACCAGGGGGAGGTCGAGAATATTATTTTTCTGCAAAGCGATCATTTCAGCGGAAATACGTCCTTTGGCCGCCATTTTTTTGGCGTCCTCGCCCCAGTAAAGTTAGCCGCTCCAGTTATTATAGAACTCAATGGCAGGAACACGTTTTGCAAGGAAGACAAATTTAAAAAGTAAGTTTTATCAATAAATATCGACTTAAGAAGAATTATAGGATATACAAAATACTCTAGTTTAACTTTAGAGACATAGTAAAAATATGAAATGCTCATGGTTTAGAATAAGTCTTTCTTATTTCCTCCGCCAAGTGTTTATTCGTTTTTTAATTTGAAATGACAAAACAGACGATACATGAACAATTTTATTCATATGGCTTTGAATTGGTCATTGGAAATGTATTGCATTCCCAGAATTTTCTTAAGATGAACATCGTCCATCAAAAATGGCCTTTTCACAACTTTAAACCGCCATAAAAATGGAATAATTTGATCAAATCCAAAACTTTTTTACTGATCCAAAACTTCACTAGAAATCGCACTTAAATTTAATATCGCCAATGATGTATGGCCCGTAGATGTAAAATTTGTTTATGTAACACATAAATATCGTAAAATCACATGTAAGGCACTGTCAAACATGAATAGCCAGGCGTTGTGTATAGTATGATGTCGTTGTATATACAAACAAGAAAAACACAATTATTTCTCAATTTATATAAATTATTTGAATGAATCCAAACAATTCATTTTATTTAAGGCTGTAAAACTACATGTGTGGTGTCTCAAACATGATGAGTATTGTATAGGGCCATTTGTGCTAAAGATGAGAGACATAAATAACCAATTAAAGAAAACTACATGTGTGGTGTCTCAAACATGATGAGTATTGTATAGGGCCATTTGTGCTATAGACAAGAGGCATAAATAACCAATTAAAAAAGTCGGGGCTGTTTAAATAAGTCCACTTCTAAAAGTGCTTTTTTAAATTTTTTTTCACTTTTTTTGGTTACATATGGTTACGAATGAATTGGTTACATACAAACCTATTGTGAGAAAATGAGACCTTATTCATTATCAAGAATTGGTTTACTAGCTCAATGCATTATCTCTGTGGGTTGGTAAATATGCAAAAGTGCATAAAGTTGCAATTTGTTTGTGATTATTTCTTCAAAGCTCAAGGAAAAGTGAATGAATTTATGTGTAAATTGTTGGTGATTGATATGAAGGTATCAAGCACTTGTGATATGTTGAAAATGAAGACTTATTTAGTTGAGAAATTTTAAGTATTTATTATGTGCTATTATTTTGTTTACCAGTAATTATATCTAACTTTATTAAAAGTAAATCGTAACCATATGTAACCAAAAAAAGTGAAAAAAAAATTTAAAAAAACACTTTTAGAAGTGTTATTAAATTTGATTTAATTTCATGCCCATTTTCCTGAAAACGTTCCTCTGTTGTGAAAAAATACTTTGGAAAAATTTGCAGCCTTGCTGGCCAGAGTCGGCCTAAGATTGTATTTTCACGTAAAGGTGCACCTGATTTTTGTATTATTGAAAAGAGAATTCCTTACATAAGTTCACCTAAAGCTATTTCTTTGTAATAGTTTTCAATAACACATTGTTTTGTTTTGCAATCAAAAAACACCTCAACTATCTGCAAATGGGCTTCAAAAAAGTAATTGTTGGATTCCATTATTATTATGCTAAATTCATACGTATTTTTCATAATTTGGATACATTCACTGAATGAAAATGTATCTGCAATAAGTATTTTTAATGTTTGTTTACAATTACTCATTACTGTCTATCTAGTTTGCACTAATATTGAGCTGTACAGTTTTCTGGGAGAGGTCTCACTGCTCGGTTTGCAACATTGAAGGTGAGTTATTTTATTTGTCCGAGAAATTAGGCTAGGCAAAACAAGAGAGTGGCAGACATCATGTCTGTGATGGCACTCTATGCACTGCCTTTTTTCATATTTCTTATTTGGTTTGAAAGTTAAAAGCTGAAAGTCGTCAGACTTACCGTTTAATCAAACACGGCATATAAAGAAAAACAGTAATGGCTGTGTTTGAATAGTAAAACTGTTGTTCTTCCTGTAATGAGTCGAAACATAAATAAGCTTAAATATTAAATTAACGTGAACAGAAATTTCATTAAAATTAAAATTATTATGTGATCGAAGATGGATGGCAACAAAACACAATGACAACTAAATCAAGAATGTATGAAATTAAAAAAATGTTAAGACCTCTAAAAAATGTCTTGAGCTTCAATTGCATCTTACAAGGGGGGTGATTTATTCACGAATCTTGCAAGTACTCGAAATTGCCCATGAAACTTTTTTGATGAATGAGTTGATTGCTTCGTCTTTAGTTATACTGGATGACTATATTTGTCGTTTACAACTGTGCTATTATTTTGTTTACCAGTAATTATATCTAACTTTATTAAATCAAGTATTTGCTTATTTAATTTCATGCCCATTTTCCTGAAAACATTCCTCTGTTGTGAAAAAATACTTTGGAAAAATTTGCACCCTTGCTGGCCAGTGTCGGCCAAAGATCGTATTTTCACATAAAGATGCACCTGATTTTTGTATTATTGAAAAGAGAATTCCTTACATAAGTTCACCTAAAGCTATTTCTTACTAATAGTTTTCATTAACACATTATTTTGTTATGCAATCAAAAAATACCTCAACTATCTGCAAATGAGCTCCGAAAAAGTATATAATTGTTGGTTTCCGTTATTATTATGCTAAATTCATGCGGACACAGTCACTGAATGAAAATGTATCATATTTCTTATTTACAAAAAGTTCAAACCTTTTTTCAATCCCCCACAAATAATGACAATTCTGTTGTTAGTATCAGGAGTTCAAAGTATCATGACAAAACAAGTTGTCAATCAATGAATTCAATGTTTCAAAATAGTAATATTGTTTAAACAGAATTTAAATATCAGGTCTTGAAGCATAGATAAATGGGATCAAACATAACTCATATTTCATCGCAATTGCCAGATGATCTCATAACAATTTCGATCTGTTAAATTTATGCCTACTAGAAAGTTCTTGTCCTGTGTTAAAGTGATTGCAACTCAACTTGTTTCAATCTTTTTGCATCTCCTGTTTTACAGTTGATGGAAAGACACGTAAATTAAATACTTGCATAATTTTTATTCTTAGGGCCTGTTTGTATGGAGCCGAGTTACCCGGCTGAGCGAGTTTAATCTACAATATATTAACGCTCACATTCAATAGCAACTTAACCTATAACTTAACCATGACTTGTTTTGTTTGTGTAGATTCAGAGGTAGTGGAAATGTCTTTGAAATTAAAACGTGAAGGAGGTAAACATGTTGGAAATTCATGTGAATATTATAAAGTCCAAAAATTTTCACTGCCCTCGATGATTAAAAAAGCATTGTAACTAATATATTGGGAAGAGTCACTATGTGTAGTATATACCCTGCATTCAGTACATTAACCTGCCGTCATAATTATTGCAGAAATAAATTTGCTTAAATTTGCAACTCTAGCACGTGATCAACTTTTTACTGGGAACTGTCGAGGAAAATGAAAAGATCAATAATAAACCAATAGTATTGTTAGTGACAGCTCTGTGTAGTATATTTGTATAGCTCTCTGAAATGTTTTACAGCTCAGTTATATTTTCCTTGTTCGTAGTATAGTCATGCAATATAACAATATCGATAATGTTTATTGTTATTTGTGCATCTTTGTTTTGATGAATTGAAGAAAAATTAATTAATTTTATGAAAGCTTTTCTGTCTATATAGTCTCAGTTTTCAGCAATTAGGTAGTTAATTTGACATGTCTTCAGTAAATGTGAAAATAATATTTATTTTCCTCTACATTGCAGAACCTATGGACCTTTACGAAGGTTAGTATTTTCATTTATTATAGAAGCTAATTAAATAAACGTTTTACGATGTATTAATAAAAAATAGTTTTATAAGTAAAAAGTTTTTCCCCTCAACAGAGTAATGTTCAATAAAACATTTACTTTACCAACTTTCTTTTTTCAAAATTAATTATTATTTTCATTGCAAAGTAATTTACATTAATGTAGTTTACTGTAATCCCGCTGGTATCAAATATGATACCACGCATTAAAATATGTTAAAAAAACTAAATTTATTTCAATTATGTTAACAACTTTTACCCTTCAGATGAGTATAAAATGAAGTATTACATAGCATGTTTATACCCGCTGACACGTTTATGCATTGAATTATAAATGTGACCAGAGATATACCGGGCGGAAAGCGAAGTTTAAATATAAATATCAAAGCCCAGCAAAGTGCTTTTAAAAGAGCCATTTAATGCATAAAAAGAACATGCATTGTTTACATGAAATATGTTATTTGTATTTATACATGACATGAAAAAGGCTTTTCAAATAGTTTTTTTGCGAGAATATTTACTTTTCATTATGACACACTGAGCTATATATGTACTTGCAAAGTTTGTGTTTTCGTGACATGAAAAATGCTTCTTTAAAAACACATTTTTCTCTTTATTCCATGATTCAAATTTTTGGAAACTTTAATAGTTTGTGTATTTAAACGGGAACTACAATATTTTGGCAGTAGAAACAGGTAGGCATATCTAGAACTTCTTATAACTCAGAAAAAGCGAATATTTTCGCACGGTTTATTGCCAACTTTTTTTTTCGTCAGGTAATATTTCAGAAACTAAACGACCTTGGTTAAATACTTTAAATTATTTTTTTAAATGATCGTATCAACGGTAAAAATTTGATATAATTGTTTATCGTACCTATTATTTAAGAGCAAATAGCAATTTTTTGTCGTGACGCCTCAAAAGAAAACATTGAGGCAGAGACCAGTAACTCTGCAAAGGGTATTTTATGTTTATGTTACGTGCAAAAAATCTGTAAATGCCATTCTTATACCATGTCGAAAACTTGATAAAACACTCTAATCTTGTGAATAAGATTAATATGACCTGATTAACGTCATAGCGTATAAAAGCGTCTAGCGTATCACGACCAAAACCAGAAATCCAGAACAAAGTAATATATGATCCCATGTATATGATTCGTCAATTTTTAGTCTTATTTATGTCTTATCGTATGGAAGTTTCATCGTAGTTAATGTTGGTGCACCAAAGTTATCAATTATATTTTTATGATATTTAGAAGCCAATCATGACGTCAACTTCCATAAACTTCTACACAAAAGTAAGAATATTAAAGCTGACGTTCACGAGGCTCTACAAAGGTAATTTTTCTTTCATGGGATATCGATTATGTATGTTGACCTCTGTGTATGTCGGAACATTACGAAAAATAGTTTTTAGACAATATATAGTTATCGTTTCTTGTTTAAGTTGTTCGTGGCTTAGTGGGAAGTATGGAATAGCTCGCCCAAACAAGAAGATGTCGTTTCTTCATTTGTATGTCACAAGCACAATTGATTTTGAGAAAGAAAATTCGGAGGCTGCTATCAAAAATGAGATCGATGAAAAGTTAAAATGGAAAGCATAGAAATACATCGAATTACGATATAAACCATTGAAAGAAGCAAAGTTTCGAATGCTGTAAAAGCGAAAACTTCATTTATTTACTTTCCACTGTAGATTTTTAAACAGCTAGATTTGATGAGTGAGTCAAAACAGATGGATATTACATACTGCACGTTTCTATTCATTTACATTGTCATGTAGTTACTCTTACTATAAAAACATTTACTAAGTATTTGCCATTCAACATGACTAATTTCAGTACTTTGCCGTCGTGTATTTATAAATAAATATTTGTTTGGTTTGCACTTATTTGATTTAATCAATTAAAAAGCAAAAATTCCTGAAATCTGTAGTTATGCATTAATTATGAGTATATAGCTCTTGCTCAAAAAAAAACAAAAACAAGCTTTAAAGCTACCACAGGTAGCAAGCGACAACGTTTCGTATATGACGATCTTGTTTTTTTTGCAAGTGAAATAATGTGAAATAATTTTACACGTTCTTCAACAAATTTACTCTCGCCCAATACTTGTTCTTCATTTAGAAGACCCAGTGTTTTCACCTGAAGATCATAACCATGTATGCAACTCTCACAAGGTGGAGTACTGCATAACACTTAAGTTTCTGGCTTGTTACTTGTCAGTTGACTATACACGTTATGGTGATGGAGTCTGTGGACCAATAACTGTATGACTTAGATAAGATATTTGTGCTAAGCTCTTACGTGAATTGTTTATCAAAGGTCTGTTGCAACAAACTTTCTCACATTACATCTGTGTTTGAGATGTGAACATGTAGTAAGATATAGTTCGGTATTTTGCTCAAGAGTTTTGGCTTATTTTTGACTTGATATATTGATATAGCACACTATCATTTGATTTGTTACTATATTATCTCTCTATGCAGTCTCCAAAGATAAATTTTCGAATGCAGCTTTTTGATGCTAGGACTCAAACAAATTTATTTTCGAAATGCAGTTTTTGTTTGACGTGTGATTCCATCAGTTCATCCTGGGGACTCCTGATGATGATGAAGCTTACCTCATCTGCTTGAAATTGGACATAGCTTTGAATGAACTGAATCTTAACGATGGTCAATATTTTACAGATGACGAAAAAACCTTCCACGACAACATTTCCCTTGAAAAACTTCCCATGACATCAGTAATAGTTATTTTTATAGAAACTAACTTTTACATTGTCTTTTTAATTCTCTAAAAATTAACAATCTCAAAGTCTAGATTGAGTGCCATTGTAAAAGTTTGGTCATTTCTATAAACAAGATCAATCATGTTTCACCAGTCCTTATTTTATAAACATTTACGAGGTACTAACTCCTTATTGATGATCTAATAATCCAATAATTATGAATATATGAAACTTTTACTTAGTAAAGAACTTACCATATAACATAAATGAAAACCTTACATATCTGACATCCTGTTTTTTTGCTCTAAGAGAAACGAGAATATTAAAAACAGTCGTCCATTTTCGTTCGTGAAGAATTTTGATGCTAAGTACATTTAGCGATTAAATTATTTTTAGTTCATTTTGTTTGTCTATTTAATAATTATAAATAAACCTTGTATGATTTTTGGTTTTTTGTTTAATCATTGGTCAGCAAACACGTTGTAACGATACATGAACTATACAGAATAACTTTTTTCTTGTTTGTTTTTATTAACTTTTCGTTAGCAATATGATTTAGTCTTTCCGACAGTAAATACTATGTTATTTAACGTATGCAAGTTATTCAACAAATCAACTCTAGCAGCATGGCACAACACTGGTGAGTGTCGTACATGAAAACAACAGAAATGTTGATAAACTTCTAATTCTAATTGCTTCTTGAAAATTTATGTTCAATTAATTTCAACTCACGGCCATTACAGAAACACTTTGATTCCTGGCTTTTCACATGTTACACAATAATTATACATGATTATTACATCACTGAGGTCTGTGGACCAATAACTGCATGACTTAACTGAGGTATTTAGACAGAACTCATTCGTAACTTGTTCGTCAAGGTCTGTTTCAACTAGCTGCTTTACGTTACATCTGAGTTTAAAAACTCTCGAGGAAAATATCAAACTCTAATATTTTACATGATCATATATCAGTTGTTTTTTTTAGTCGATGAAAATCAAAATTGATAAGAATCCATGACAAGAAAATCACGGTCCCTCATGCATCTCTATTTCTAAATACTTTTTTAAAACGAAATAAAATCGGCTAAAAGCAAAGCACCTCTCTTGTATGTACGTATTACATGGTATTTTATCCGTCATCATATTTCATTTATAACTGTTTGAGATTCTTTTACATTTTAAAGACTTGTTTTCTTTGACGATGAAGACGAAAATCTTTATGATCATCAAGTGAAGATTAGTAAGGTAAGGTCGGTGAGTCTTTAGTGGACTGGGGACTAGTAAGATGAATGTTATTTTTTAAATGGAAACATTGTCATTAATATTGGCTAGCAATAATATAAATAAAATTAATAAATATTTACGAAATGAACTTACATGAAAATAGTTTAATAACCATCAAAGTTAGTTAAGTAAACGAGAAATATATTATTATAGGTTTAGTGTATGTAGATATCACAATGATTCACAGTTTGTTTATCATCAACGCTTCAATGTGAGTAGATATGAGATATGATGGATATATATGGGTTAATGTTTTTTATAGATCAAATTTCGTCTCTAGGCCCTTGTTGGTTTGTTAGTTTACACCGATCATTTATGCAGTTTAGGAACTTGTGTTTGATTGCTGTGGATGGCAGACGTTTGTGGCTGTTCAAAAGACATCAGGCCATGGAAAAATAATAAGTTTTATTATCAACTGAAGAAAGTAACTGGGACAAGTAAGATGAATGTTTTGAATTTTTTTCAAATGGAAACATGTTAATTAAATATTAGCAAAAATATAAATATTTATAAAATGAACTTAAATGAAAATAGTTTTATGCTTGTATTGGTTAATGGTTATAGATAAAATTTCCCCTTCAGGCTCTTTTGTTGGTTTTGTGCATATTAGCTTGTAATTATTCAAGTATGTAATTTATAATTAAATTTGAATGAGATATAGTGAGATAAGTTGCAGTATGATATTAAATGAAAGCTTGAACAAGGGCTACAAAGTGAAGGCTTATTTTTATTTGTGGTATCACCTGACATGATTAATGCAATTATACTAAGATAAAATGAAAAATGCCATGACATTAAAAAGTCCAGTAAACGAATGTCCGAGGTTAGACAAAAATGATGTCATGGGTAATTGTGGGATATATTTCTAGAAGAACATTGGAGAAGTGTTTTAGGATTTGTTTGTGATTATTTCTTTGAAGCTCAAGGAAAAGTGAATGAATTTATGTGTAAATTGTTGGTGATTGATATGAAGGTATCAAGCACTTGTGATATGTTGAAAATGAAGACTTATTTAGTTGAGAAATTTTAAGCATTTATTATGTGCTATTCTTTTGTTTACCAGTAGTTATATCTAACTTTATTAAATCAAGTATTTGCTTATTTAATTTCAGGCTCATTTTCCTGAAAACATTCCTCTGTTGTGAAAAAATACTTTGGAAAAATTCGCACCCTTCCTTGCCAGAGTTGGCCAAAGATCATATTTTCATGTAAAGGTGCACCTGATTTTTGTATTATTGAAAAGAGAATTCCTTCCACAAGTGCACCTAAAGCTATTTCTTACTAATAGTTTTTGTTAACACATTATTTTCTTATGCAATCAAAAAACACCTCTTCTATCTGCAAATGGGCTCCGAAAAAGTATATAATTGTTGGATTTCATATATATTATGGTAAGTTCATGCGTATTTTTCATAATTTGGACACAGTCACTGAATGAAAATACATCTGCAATAAGTATTTTTAATGTATGTTTACAATTACTCATTACTGTCTATCTAGTTTGCACTAATATTGAGCTGTACAATTTTCTTGGAGAGGTCTCACTGGTCTGTTTGCAACATTGATGATAAGTTATTTTATTTGTCCAAGAAATTAGGCTATGCAAAACAAAAGAGTGGCAGACATCATGTCTGTGATGACACTCTATGCACTGCCTTTTTATCATATTTCTTATTTACAAAAAGTTCAAACCTTTTTTCAATCCCCCACAAATAATAACAATTCTGTTGTTATTATCAGGAGTTCAAAGTATCATGATAAAACAAGTTGTCAATCATTGAATTCAACGTTTCAAAAGAGAAATTATTGTTTGAACAATTTAAATACAAGGTCTTGAAGCATAGATAAATGAGATCAAACATAACTCATATTTCATCGCAATTGCCGGATGGTCTCCTAACAATTGCGAACTGTTAAATTTATGCATACTAGAAAATTCTTATCCCGTGTTAAAGTGACTGCAACTCCACTTGTTTCAATCTTTTTGCGTCTCCTGTTTTACAGGCTTCCCTCATGTACGCAAGCGTACCTATTTTTGTTAATGCATTTTGTCAAATTCATAGAATGTCCGAAGTTTTTTTAATGAGCAGTTGCAACGTCAACAAAATGGTGACAGAAACAATAAAGTAAGGATTTTTTCTTGCTGCCCAAGCCATCATCCAGTTTGATATAAAGAAAATTCCAGTTGAATAATTTAAGAAACAGTCCATTCATAAACAATTTGTGTTTTGCTATAGGTAGATTTACGCAAGATTTATTGGAGTTAATGTTTATTTGTACAGGATACTTTTTTCAAACACATTTCAACTTTACGATTGTGAGTATACTGAAATGCAGTCATTTACGAAATCTGCTTTGAGAAATCTCCATAAAGCATATTTTTCCAGCTATGAAAAATAGCTGTGTTTGAAGTTTGAAATGCTACATTGTAAAAGAAATATTTATTTCTCTCAAGGTCACGAGCTGCAAAAGAAGGCATTCGTGCTGTCAGACGGAAGCTAAAACGATGAGGAAGTGGAGGTTGTTGGAAATTTTAAAGGTGAGAGTTTTTTTACAAACATAGTTGTGACATGTTCTTTACTGGATAAAAACTACACGTTGCTATTCTAGATTGCATTTGTGAATTCTTTCAATACCTAATAACCATTTTAAGAACATTTCACGCGTCAGGCGTTTGATTCAATCGCCAATAGTTTGTATTGGATTTTTCTATAAGATAGAAAGTTAGTCTCTTGGCGATTAAATCGAACTTCCAATGCCTAAATGAAAAGCTCTTAACATTTTATTATTACCTTTATACAAAACAAAAGACCTCACAAATTCAATTTAGTTTTCTTGAGCGTAACAGTCTTTAATTCCATGTACAAATCCCCAATTTCTGTTTTTAACACATATCTTTCAGTCTCTTATTAGTTACAGTTAACAAAAAATAATTTTGAACATTTACCAGGAAGAATTCGATTAGAATGATAATATGAAAATAAAAATAGACAAATTCTCGGTATCGCTAGTGTCGAATGAACAAAGATCTTTTTCTTGTTATTTTAAATATTTTCATCTTAAATAGTTATGCAATGAAGTGTGTCATTGACACGCGTAATATCACATTTTTCAATGAATTCTTGCATTTTAGATGAACGGACTATTCTAAATTCTAATACTGTATATCTTACATGCCAACACCCTTAAGGTTTTTCTTCTCATTAGGTGTTGCATGGTAGCGCCTTGTTTGATTCGGTTGTCCAAATTTAGAATCTCATGTTTTTTTAAATCTAGTCGACTGCAATCAATGGTTAATCACAAACATTAAACAGTTATACTATAAAACGTTCCATTTGCTGTGATTACAATAAGCGGATTGTGTTTTGTTTATGCATTTAAATTTCTTGGTAGAGATTTACGGAAAAAGTAACTTCCAATTTTGTTCACATTGACAAAGACCCCATTGCCTTACTGAGTTTAAGGTGTCCCTGATTGTGCTAGCTTTATCATAATTGGTGAAAGTAAACTTAATTTGTTTAAATCAAGTGTATAAAGATGAAACTTGACGATAGTAGTCTTTTCTATACCTTGTTATAGCTACCTTGTTGCTGTGACAATTTTTGTGATTTTGTTGTTTTGTTGGGTAATCATAATTTTTAGAATCTGTGAATAATAAGCTTTCCCCTAAGATGTAGCTACTTTGCTACTATTATGATAAATATTTTTGTTTCGACAATAATTTGTAAAAAAAAATCTTATTTGGCGTGTATCAAATGATTATCGTAGATTTTTGACGATTAACTTCATACAGTTGGATGTTTTAAAACATTGATGCAAGTAACGTTTAACAAGGATGAGTACAATTTCTGAAAATTTTCTTCCTGCGTATGATTAATTTTTATAAATTTTCATCTATGTTAAGGCTAATAATCACGGAAAGTTTCTTTAAAATTAAATGAGATATGATCTTCGCACTTAGCTGGACAATTTAAGCAATCGTCTCAGGACCTGAAAAAATCAGGTGACTCAACGAGATTCGAACCCATGACCTCTGCGGTGCCGGTGCAGTGCTCTGACCACTGAGCTATGAAGTCACACAGTGGTGAGCAGGTCAATATTGTTGGGCTCATGTTTTCTCGTGAAATGAATGACCTGCTCACCACTGTGTGACTTCATAGCTCAGTGGTCAGAGCACTGGCACCGCAGAGGTCATGGGTTCGAATTTGAGTCACCTGATTTTTCATCCTAGACGATTGCTTAAATCCAGCTCATTATCATCAATTTCAAAAACACACTGCATAAAAACATTCATATGAAAGTTTCTTTGTTGACGTGTGGCGTTGAAGGTTATGATGTTACATGTACTTTAAACGCCTTAATGATTGAATATTAAAACTGTGCAAGAATTCTATTTTAATCTTTTCATTTCAACGAGGGAGAAAGACGAAGATTTGATAAATATGTATTTATGATTGCAGAATTTCCTAAGTTCGATGTATTAACCTTGGATAATACAGAATTTATAGAGTTTCCTTCAACGAATGAAAAGTTACTTCATGGATGACGGTAAGTTATATACAATCAAATTTATGCGAGACTCTCGTAAATTGTGTGTAAGCTATACATACAAAAATATGGATATATTTACCAACATTTTATCTTAGAACATACATACACTTTATTGATCTTTTTATCTCGATAATCGTCGTCTAGAGATTTTATGTCTTTATGCACCAACTATAGATATATCTGTAAGGTTTTTTCTAAGTCGATTGTTATTGACTAAAATACTGTCACACGTTTGGTGACTTTTTAATTGAAAGAACGTTACGAGTCTAAAGGTGAAGGAACGGAATATTACCCCGACTTTGAAAATTAGTTATACTATCAAATTTATGTATAAGGCACTTATAAATTGTATCTTCCATACGTAGTGATATACTTTCTAACATTCAACGTATACTCCTTGATTATGCTTTTCCTTGTTATCTCGTCATCTCAGGATATTTTATTTCTCCTTGCGCCCAATATTTTTAAGCATTTTCGATTCAAAATCCCTTCATGAGATTGTTTGTGTGAGATAATAATAATATCCATAATAACTATAAAAATAGCTTAAGAAGCATTTGTGCACACTGGACGATTTTCCAAAGCTATAGTTTACAAAGTTTAGGTGTTGAACAACACAAAATAAGTCAGTTTTAAGTTAATGTCGTTGTCAAAAAAGAGCTTTTGACAATTCAGATGAACCTTCGGCATACAAGTTTCAGGCACCGCGGAGGATCGATAATTGGGGGCTCATATTCATATATTCATGTTATAATCCTTAGAAAACAATGGATTTCAAAAGATCTTAAGCCTGCATATATGAATATATGAATATTACCCCCAATTATCGATCCTCCCTGCCTGTTTATTATATGTTCCTTGTCATATTGAGTAAAAACGCGACAAAGTGTTGGATATGAATAGATCAAAATATTGTATCATTCTGATTATAAATTGTATTACAATGCGAAATAATATTGGTCAATTTTGGTGAATCTCAGCAGAAATAGATCCGTCCGCCATTTTTTCTGTTCCTTCCCCGCCGTTCAGTGGTTTTATTTGTTTGAATTTTGTTTCCTGAAATAAATTTGGAGGAGTTTGTAAAGATGCGTTCTGGCGGCCCCCATATGCCTTCTGTTAGTGGTGTCTTGCCTTAAATCATTCGTGGGGTATTCCCCCCTGGCTGTACCCCTGCCACAACGCCAATGGTTCGGTGTTTCATAGATATACATAGGATTGATACATAGGCGTAGAAACAGATTTAAATTTGGGGGTGGGGTTAAAGTCGACGAGTATAGTATATACTCCACCCTTATTTTTTGAAGCTTTAGGGAGTCTGGTACAAACATTGAAAATGGAGAAAGTCATGAAACCTTTATGATTTAGTTGTACTTCATTACAATACACAAAGTGCAAGTATTGTTCAAAAATCAATACATTGCACAAAACAAACGAATTTAACTAATAGCCTAAACGATTGGTCGTACTAGTTGCAAGCTACGAATTCTAGTTCAATGTCAGACTAAGTTGTTTTCACTCTCTGAAGAGTTAAAAATGGACCTTTGTTGTATGCATTAAATGGGTACAAAGAAGTTTATGAGCTTTACTACACATACAAGGACGTACGTTTTCATGATGTCGCTTATCGTGTTAATTCAAGTGATGTCCATGATTCGCATTTGATCTTATCATAAATTTTGCTCGTTTGCGGTCTTTACTAAATTTGAAAGTATTGATATTGTTTTCCTTCTTAAGTCAATTTCTACTTCGTTCTTGAACTTTCTGTAGTCTGTGTGATGGGTAGATAAAATATAACCCGTATATGCACCTATCACAAGTTCAATATTTGCCTAAGATCAAACTTTATTTGTCAAACCTGAGCTCCAGTTCATATCAAATACTGCTATCCGCGTGCAACACTGCGTACTTTTTTTAAAAAAGCATCGATCGCTGCAGTTCTGACAGTAAAACCTAGTCTCGCCCAAAAATTTTATGGTAGATTAAAGTGAGCCACCTCAGCTATTAGTCAAATTGAGGGCAAGATTGAGCTACACAATATACCATTACAGTCTTCGGTTCTTCTCTTTGAATTGGGTCTAGTAACTGCATTCAGATGTCGAGTCATATAGGTATTTGCTGCCCCATCATGTGCTTGTTTATGACTGTTCAAGTTAGAGGAAGGTTACCGCGAATAAGGATGTACACAGTATTTTATCAAAAGCTCCCAAAAACGTGTTCATTTCGAAGTTTTTTGGCATTGTCTGGTTTATCTATAAAAATAATAAGACGGTAAAATTGCCAGAACGCTCATTTTATACACGTCGCGTGCAATACACAACAGAATTTAAACTTTCAACTTTTCGAGTTGAATTAGATTTTTAATTTCTCATTTTCTTTGCGCAAGCGGTTGCAAACTGCTCTCCCGCTTTTCAAGATTAATTTTTTGCTTTTAGATAAACCAGGCGATGCGAAAATACTTAGACGTGGACACATTTTGGAAATTTTGGTATAAAGATAATTTTCTTGTCATTTAAAAATGTTCTAATATTTTTGTACACCTTGTGAATTGTTGATATCTTACAGTTCATGGTTGTCTGCTCTCTAATTAAACATCCTACACATCTATGGGGCGCCAAATGTGCATTTATTATTTAAGTACATTATCGCATTATTTTGCATGATTTATTTAATTATATATGATAATTGCATTTAGTAGTTAGTAGTTTGCTTATTTCAAATAACCATTTTGTGACAACGTGCTTTAAGTTTATTATACCAAAGAACCAGTTTTACTTTCTTTGATAAAATTTGGTTACATCAAATAACCAGTTTTACTTCCTTTGATAAAATTTGGTTATATCAAATAACCAAAATAATTTTGTTACACTTGGCGAAGCAAAAAATGTCAAAACATGATAAGCCCACTCTCCCCTTCGGATTTTTATGTCTTGCGAGATGTAGCGGTTTTTTCCAACCGAATTTCTATGCGCGCTTTGTGTTTGGTGAACTCTCTTATTGACGATTGTTTCATACAAAGAAAGGATTTTGGTTTTCAATGAATTCCGCCGATTCCTCCGAAAGGCTTGCGACATCATTAACTGATGTTATAGAGCGAGCCATTCGTGAAACTAATCAAACTATTACGAACTCTGCCAAGGTAAGCAGTACATTTAAATAAGGAAGAAATAAATGCGTATGGTCTTTGGCAATTATATTAAACTATGTGTATAAAGTATCAGGTATTGCTGGATGATTTCCCTAATTTCCATTATGGTGATAATGGAAAAATTCCTATTCAAATGTGCTGCTTACCTTGGCAGAGTTCGTAATAGTTTCACGAATGGCTCGCCCTATAGTGTCAGAGAAATATTTATATAATTATTCTTTTACCGAATCAAATATTCTCCAGTGTAAGAATAAAAATTCCATAATTATGTTTATGCTTGAAATGTGGAGCATATCTGAAACAATTGAACTTTTTGCAAATACATGTATTCTTAACAAAAGTGGTTGTTAAGCAGATCATTGTTTTGTGAAAATCTTTGCTTTTTGTAAAACAGCGTTGGAGCTTTTTATCTTTATATTTTCTACTACATGTCTTAGGTCATCTTACACAACGTTTTGAGAATGCTTTTAGATCCATTCAATTTCAGACATCTCATCGGTATAGAAACAATCTTCATTTGGCATAAAGTGTTTTAGTTGTTTATCTCTTTGAAGACTTCTCATATTCTTTGTGTCGTATAGTCATGCAATATCCTTATATATGTTGATAAGAATTATTTATAAATAAAATAATGGAATCGTGTAGTAAAGAAGAAATTATTTTTATTGTACTTGCATGCTGAAAACAATTGTTTTGTGTTGATGATTTATGGGATATATTTTGAGATATTCTCACCTATTTTTAATTCACTACCAAAGTTTATTCATCATTACCAATAATAATATTTTACTCTAATGCGGTTATGAGTTGTTTTGAAACAAAACTACTGAAGCCACGAAGTTTTGCAAGTTGGTATAATATTACAGAATAATGATTAAAGATGACTGTTAGTGGTTGTTTTTGCTTGGGTTGCTAATCAGTTAATCACTATGACTATGTAGGAAGAAATGGTATAAATGTACATTTGTGCAACTGAAATATAATTAATGGATAGATTCTGCACTTTCTTTCTATTATTATATATGTATATCCGCAAAGTTATGATACCTGAGGTTATATACATGTGTATTAATTTTTCTGCAGTTAGATTTTCCCTTGTGAGCACAGTTAACCTGTCTTGTGTAAAGCTAAACGATTGGTTGTAAAATACAGTATTTGTATTTATTTACACTTAACAATTATAATATAGGCATTATGCTTTTTAGGCATCGATGACAAAATTTATGTATAGCGCTGATGATGCTTGTACAGGACAGTATATACTGTATCATCAGTCCTACATCATAAAGTGCAAAATTAAAGTTACAAGGCTAACCTAAAGTTTTTACAATAGTAAAAATGAAAATGTATACAGCTGCGTAGAAACTCATATTATGGTTATGCTGTATTTGCGGTATACTAATTTGGACAAAGTTTGTGTACCTAAGTTCATCATTTTGCTTGTGCTAAATAAATACAAAACAATTGCATTTATGTAACCTCGATGAATGCAACGATTTTT